AGTGAGAGGAGAGGCCTGCGTTGGCTGAGACCCCCTTGCACGGCTCAGTGGCCTCTTGCCGAGCAGACCCTCTGCTCCCCCACCTCCCGAAGCTCAGATCTCTCTTGGGTCAGACACCAGCTCTGCCTTCCCCCAGCAGTGTGCCCTGGCCACTCACCTCTCTGCCTGCTCTCCTTCCGACAGGCCGGCGAGGGATGCCTGCCTGGCTCATGCAGTCAGTGCTGACCACAGGTGTTTGTGACCAAGAGACGCCGGTCAGGGGCCTCCGCTCCCAGAACCCAGGTGTGTAGGGCCAGCCACTGGGACAGGCTCGGACCGTGGGAACAACTCGGCCTGGGTGTGGAGATGACACCTGGCGCCCTGTGGCCCACAGTTCACTCTTCCCAGCAGACACGAAGGCCACCGCTGACCACACCACATACTAAGACAACACCCTGCTCACAAAGACGACACACCCATGTCTTGGTCACATATGTGCTAAGACCACACAGCACATGCTAAGAACACACAGCACACTCAGGGTCCGGATCACACTGTCTTGGGGGTTGAAGTCCTTGGCCTCAGTGTGGCTGAAGGCAGGACACCCAGTTCACCCCCGTCCCAGGATGACCCACCACCTCTGGCCCCAGGGAGGGATCCAGCATGTCCCCAGGATGACCCGGAGGTCTCATGCTCCCTAATAAGCAGACCCTCAGCCTGGTCCCAGGTTTGAGGGTGTGGCTCAGGTCCTACTGCCCCCCCACCCCCTGGGGCAAGCTCTGGGGTTCTGACACCCCACCCCAAATCAGTGCAGAGGGCCTGGACTGGGATGAGGGAGGGAGCCTCACTTCCAACAGGCCCTGCTGGTGGGGCCTTGGCTCTGAGGAGGGGTGAGGTCATCCGCCTGTGGCTTTGGAAGGAGGCAGAATGGTCACTGGTGATGTCTGGGAGGAGGAAGTCATATGCCTGGGGAAGAACAGGCCCTGGGCTCACCTGGGTGTGGATGCGCATCATGGCTCTGTCACTTATCATGTGACCTTGCCCAAATTAATCAACCTCTCGGAGTCCATTAGCTCAAGTGCAAAATGGGCCTTAGTTTCCTCTTCCTGCTCAAGGCTCAGGGGTGGGGCCAGCTGATATCGCTGGTGTGGCTACCCCCTCCCTGAGCCCCACATCAGACCCTCCAGACTCAGCACAGGCCTGGGGTGTCTCAGGCCCTCTGCCACTGAGCAATTTTCCTCTGTGGGATAGGGGGGCACACTGTCCTGGGGGAGGCCTGTGAGCAGTCAGAGGAGGGTCCCGGGTGCTCTGGGTAATGAGAACAGGAGTGACCTGTGGCTCCCTGCTCAGGAGGTTGAAGAAGGGAGCTGCCAGGAAGGAGGGACCTGGAGACCCCAAGCTTGGGGAGCTCAGGTCTGGCCAGAGTCCTCGCCAGCCAAGGGCAGCTTACCGGGAACAGGAGCCCCCACCTTCCTGTGGGAGAGGGAGCCCTGGCCAGGGCCAGAGGCATGCCTGTGATGATGAGGGGCTCGAGTCACAGATCATCCAGGCAGAAGCCACAAACCTCCCTTCCCTCCTCCTGGGGAAACAGCTTGAGAACTGCCGAGGGGCCAGCATAAGGTGCCTGGGCCAAGGATCAGCGACCAGTGGGGAGGGGAGGAGGTCACCCCCGAGCCCACTTCTGGGAGGGCAGAGAGGTCTCTGGCTGCCTCAGCAGGACAGAGAGACCGTATCCAGTGGCACTGAGGCTGGCAGCCCCCTCCTCCCTTCCTGGTGCATCCCTTCCCCTGCCTCCCCAGGCCTCACTGGCCCCGGGAGGAGCAGGCTAGGGCAGGACAGGGTGACCCCAGCTCCTGGCACCGCGTAGGCCCAGGTGGTCACTCCTCAATAGCTGTAGTGAAGGGATGTGGGGATGCCTCAGAGAAGGGACAGGTGGGTGGTCCCACGTCTTCCACCCTCTCCCCAGAAGGACAGTAGGATGGCTGGCCCCAACCTGCTGAGTACAACCCCTCTTCGGGACTTTGAGTGGGAGCCTTCATGAGGCTGGGCCTAGGGGTGCCAAGGCATCCCCTTCCAGGCTGGGGCTGTCCTGGAGACTGTTGGTGCCTGGTGTTTCATGGGGCCCCCGGGCTCAGCTTATTCACCTGTGGGTGGCCTCCCCCTCAGGGGCAGCTTAGAGATGGTCCTAGGGGACTCTGGTGTGACAGAAGCGAAGTCTGAGCCCGTGGGCTCTGCATATGTACCAGATTCCTGGTGCATGTGGCAGGTGGGGGTCATCCTCCCTGGGCCTGGAGGCTGGCCCACCTGCTTCCAGGAGGGTGAGGGGCCTTCTTGGTACAAATGTGGAACCTCTCCCTGCCTCCAAACACTGACCACAGGGTTAAGCAGCAGCTCCAGTGAGCACAGAGGGGACTCCCTGAGGTGCCTCCAGCCAGCTGGGGTGGGTGGGGCTCAGGGTCTGGCCAGGTGTCTCCCACTGGAAGGGGTGGGGTGTGTGCACACTTCCTGCCTGGTCACCTCCAGGCTGGCTCTTTGGTACCCTCTCTTGAGCCCTGGCCAGGCGGTCCCTCCCAGTCAGATGTGACTGAGGCCTTCAAGTCCTGCCCTGAGGAGGGGGTAGCAGCAACTGGTAAGGGGGATGTTTTCTTGATTCTAACCCTCTTGGTTTTCTGGTAGCTCTTCCGACACAGAGCCATGGCCCCCCCCCCCCAACCCAAGATGCTCAGGAGAGAAGACAGCCACCCTCTTCCCGCAGCCTGGCCATTGACAGCGGTGGGAGGGGTGGGAAGGAAGTCTGGCAGAAAGGGTTGGCTCCAGCTTCTGCTCCAAAAGGGTGGCTTTGGGGTTAGAGAAGGTCTCAGTTGTCATTTGCTGCCAGCCTCGCTGCCCACTCCTGTCTCGACTGCTGAGGCCATCACCTCTATGGCCAAAGGGCTGGGCAGCTTGGGCCTTGCTGACCTGGAAGGCAGCCTATGTGGGGCTGGTAGGGTGAGGGTCTTGGCAGGACCTGCCGGCCACATCTGTCTTGGGCACCTTCTTCTCCCTTAGGTGTGACTCAGGGGTGCTTGGTGATCAGGAGGTTGGGGGCTGATGCTGAGGGGTTCTGAGCTGAGTCTTCTCATCAAGATGCTCCCACATGAGTCGGCACCCCCGTTTTACACAGGGACAAACTGAGGCAGGAGAGGGCCTCTACCTGCCCGAGGCCCCAGCCCCACACTGTCACTGCCCGGGCTCTGCAGGTGTGTGTGGGTGTGTGTCAGACACACCTGGGCTTGAACCCCAGGTGCCCTGGAGTGGCCTCCCTTACATAACTTTCCATGTGCTAAAAACAGCCGGGCCCGCCCCGTGTGGGGATGGCAGAGCCCCTGGAGAAGGTGGAGGAGTGAAGGCATTATGCTGAGTGTGGCAGCAGGCGGCTGAGCTCTGGAAACTAACAGCCTCCCCAGAAGGAAGGCAGGCCAGGGATGGGTGATGTGGTAGGAGGCAGAAGCAGGCTGGATTCCCACGGGTTGACTTGCCTGGTTGCGGACTGAGGGATGATGAGCACTCCTTCTGGGTTCCGCCCAGGGCCTGGGGCTGCTCAGATCCTGCCTGAGATGCCCTGGGTGGGCCAGACTCAAGGGTAAGCATGGTGCCTGTCTTCCGCCAGTGGCCACAACTGGACCTGTCGGTGCTCGGTGTCCACTGTCAATGGTCATGTGATCAGTCACCTCGTTGACCTGTGAAGAGGCAGTCAGGGGCACGGTGAAGGGTCTGGAATCCTAGCTCTGTCCCACAGAGCCAGACCGTCCAACACAGCAATGGCCTTTCCAAATCTGTCTGGACTGACGACCACCACCTGCCTCATAGTTGATACGCATCATTTCCCCTGACATAACCTATGAGGGGACACTCCAGGCCCCCCCACTTGGCCCTGTCCTGGATTTTCTCTCCAGGGTCAGTATGCTGGCTTGCTCAGCTGCCCTGCCCACCCTACATTCAAACACCAACTTTACGACCTCCTGTGTGTCATCATGGCCCTCCAAGCCTTCCCTCATGGCAGACTTGAAGAGGTGGAGAGGACCAGCTCCAGGCCTCCGCAGCCAGGGTCCTTTCCACAGACACTGACCCTTGGAACAGTATCCCCACCTGCCTGCTTCAGGCATGCTCCCATGGCCGGGTGGCCAGCTCTGCCTCCCCCTCCCCTAGGCCAGGGAGGGGACCGTGGGAGCAGAAAGCAAGCCTCAGTGCAGTGTCCACTGTTGCATAATGACCCTATTCATGGGCTGGGTGGAAAATTCGGTTGGGGAAACAGCGGAACTATTTTTATGAGGCCGGCTCTCCCCCACGGGCAAGGGCTGGACAGCCTTGCCCGCAGCAGACCCCACCTGGCACAGGTTCTCGCAGGGCTCCCGGTCCCCGCGCCTCACTGGTGGCCAGACAGGGCCAATCAGGGCGTAACCCTCAGGGGCCCGAGCGGGGTTCAGTCACTGATGGGGCCGGGGGACCCTAGCGCCTCGGGTGCTCTCCGTTACATAGCACAAGGACTGGCCCCCCAGACCGGATTGGCCCCATCCTTTGGAAGGTAGCCGGTGGGACTGTCGGGGTCCCAGTGAACTCAAAGCAGAGTTCACGCTGGCACCGCGGGGGTCACCGTTGGCCTGGGCTTGTCTGTCTTCCCCAGAAGGGCGCGCCCCGCTCTGCGACGGACCCCCTCGGCCGCTGACAACCCCTGGGGCCGCCCGCCGGACAGCATTACGGCGGAAGGACGCCTCGCAGGCGCCCTGACCGCCTGACCAGACCACCGGAGAGAGCAGGGGTCCGACACGTCCCCGCCCCCGCGGCGGCGCTGACCGCCAGGGCGCACGCGCCGACCGTCCGCCCTTGGGCCCCGCCCCACGGAGCTGCGCGCCAGTGCGCACGCGCGGACGTTCCCGGCCGTGAGGGGCGGGAGGTGGCAGCGAGACGCAGGCGACGACCGCCCGGCCGGCTAGAGCGGCCGGCCCAGAGCGCGGCGCACCGGAATCGGAAGCGGGGTGAGTCTCCCCCGCCCCACGAACAGCCATCTTGCAGTGAGCTGAGGCGGCGGCGGGCCTGCGGCGGTTCGGTGGCCTCGGGCGCGGCGCGGTGAGGCTCTCCGGCGCGGGCCACGCTCTTCCTTCCCTGCTCCGGCCTCGACCACGGCGAGCCTGAGCGCGGCGGCGGCCCACGCGCGTCCGCGGGGAGAGGTGAGAGCGCGGCGCGGGCCTGGGCCGGGGCTTCGGCCGCGCGCGTCCGCCCCGCCGGGGCCGGCCCGAGGCTCGTCCCCGCGCGCCCCGCCGCCCCAGGGGCCCCGGCCTGGGGCTTCCGTGCGCGGAACCTGAGTCGGTTACGGCGGGGCGCGCGGGGCTCCGGGCCAGCTGGGGCAAACCGGCCGCACGGCCGGGGCTCCTGCGGGAAGGCCTTGTGTCCGTGGCGCGCCTGCGGGCGCCCCCGGGACTAGGCGGCGAAGACCTTGGTTCGTAAATGTGCCCGGGGGTCGCTGTCGGGGTGGCCGCCGTTGAGCCCGTCGCCGCCGCAGCCCTGGGCTGGGCCCCGCGGGGGGTGCGCGCGTGCTCGGGGTTGTGCCCGCTGGGCTACGAACGAGACGGGACTCGGGCGGCAGGCGGGGGCGGCCGCGGCGGCGGGGCTCCGCTTGGGCCCCGGGCCAGTGCCGCGAGGGGGCCTGCCGCCTCTCAGCGCCTGGCCGGGTGTAGACCTCTGGCGCGCTTTGGGTCGATACCAGCTGGCCGGTCTGTGTTTAATTCAGATCCAGCTCCCGACATCTTTCCGGGCCCAGGCGTGGACCAGCCGAAGAGAGGTGAGGCCGCAGCCTCGCGGGAGTAGTGCTAGGAAGTGCATGAGAACACACTCCGGCGGCGGGAGCGTGGGTGCTCTGTCCGTCCCAGGTGAGGAAACCGTGATCCGGCTCCGGCGGAAGGAGGCCTCCCCGAAAACCTGGCTGCGCTGGTGCGGCGCGCTTGCGCCTCGGCGCCCCCAACTTGCAGCTCGCCGTCTGCCCTGTCCTGAAGGGCTGAGCTCTGGGGCCGCTCGCCGCCCGGGCGGCCGCACGGACTTCCGTGGGCGGCTTGGGCTTGGGCGGGTCCCGTGCCCAGCGGGTCGGGCTGGCCGCCGTCTCTTGCCGCACTGCCGCCTGGGTTACAGTGACACGGAGCAGGGGGGGCGTGCGGGGAGAGAGGGAGTGGGAGCGGTACCGCGCAGGTGGCAAGCCTGTGTCCGGGTGAGGCTGAAGGGACTCGTGCGCTGCGATACTGGTTCAGGCTGCTTTCCCTCCGCGTCTGTACGTGGAAATGTCTTATTCGTGCCATTTTCTTTTTAAATGTCTTGCACTCTTCCTTTGAGCCTCATGCACTTTCACGGGCCTCGTCTGTGGGGTTCGCAGGGAACTTGAGACGCGCTTCCTAGTGTGTGTAGGTGCTGTGGACTAGGAGAGCACTGACTGAAGCACAGGAGGGGTCAGTCGGGAGCCCTTCCTTTTCACGAACTGAGCAGTTGAACCATAATGTGACTTTAAAGATCACACGTTTGGGAGCAAGAATGCGAGGAGACGTTTGTGACTGACCAGGCAGGATCCGTTTATTTTGTGTGGCTGTCCAGTCGCCTTCATGAGGCTTCCAGCCTGGCCACATAATTGAGTGCCAGCACGGCGGTATTTGAATTACCCAGTGAATCGTCCCGTATGTGGCAGAGTGCTAACTTCACACGAACATTTAAGAGAAGCAAGTCCAGTGTGGTGGTCCTGCTTTTGGGCTGTTGCCGTTTGTTACTAGGCGTTGGTCCCGGGTGAGCCACCTGGCCCGCTTGGCTCGGCCAGGAGCTTGGGGGCAGTGCTGTGCGGGAGAGCATCCCTTCCCAGGCTGTTCTGTAGCCTTCTCCTGCTGTGGGTTCACCAGTATCTCTGCTGGGGCCCGGCAGGCACCTGAGTGGTGTGGAGCTGGGTCGCAGGGAGGCTGGTGGAGGCGTATGACTAGGGGAATCAGCGAGGCTTTTGAGGGACTTAGTTTGGCCAGGCCAAGAAGAGCTAGGCCAGGAAGAGCTTAAGTGAATTTTTTGCGAGTAGAGACCAGGCTGAGAAGCAGCCATCTGGTTAGGATGAGGAGGGGATTTGGGAACTGGGAGGGCTAGCTGGGGCTTCTTTGTCAAGGGCTTGGCCCTGGGGGACTCTTGAAGTGCTGTGATCGGAACTGTGGGTGGAGAAAGTCAATCTGACTTAAGTGTACAGAAGTGGGGTGAGACCAGAAGCTGGGAGGCCAGTTGGGAGGCTGTTGTGGTGGTTAATGGGAACAATAGTGGGACCCTGCATTAGGGTGAGTGAGTGGGGACGGGAGAAGGAGGAGAACAGAGGCCCTGAAGTTTAGGGGCCCAGAGAAGTGCGGTGGGCATTGGTGTGTGGAGGACTGCTCTGCAGGCCTTGGGGTGTAGAGTGAGCACACCGAGCCCTGGCTGTCGTCTAGGGGTTTAGTGCTCTGAGGGGAATTCAGCCTGCAAAGGGGCAGGAGTCCGCAGACCTCTGACCTGATGGAGCTGTCGCTAGGGAAATGAGCACACAGAGGCCCTGAGGTGGAGGTGAGGAGGGGCAAGCGCTGGGGTGGGGGGTGGGGGTGGAGTGACTTCAGGTTCGCGCGGGCCGGAAGTCAGGCTGGAGATCCTGGCGGCTGATGTCCAGTGCTGTGGCAGGATGGGCTGGGATTGCTGAGTGGCAGTGTCCGCAGCACGGGGGGAGAGCAGGACAGGTATGGCTGCGATTTGCCGCCACTGTCCCCTTTCCCTTCCTGCGTACCCCTACGTGTCCTCTGCCTCTATCGTATTTTAGACCAGTGGCTTTCACACTTTATTTTTAGCAGCAGAACTTTTTTGCCTTGCTGTCTTAGGGGAAACTTCAGTGTATAAAGCAGCTTGAGTTGGAGCCGTTCTGATGTCTGTGAGGGTGGGGAGCTCTGTGTCTTCTCTCTCCATCCCTCCCCTCTGCCTCTGAGCACAGCTCCAGGGCCCCCGGGTCCCCAGGCCAGGCCATGGCCCTTCTCTTGAGGCCTCGCTCCGGGTCCTTAGCCTTCGGTGCCGTCCTCACCCTCCCGTGCCATCTCATCTGTCCCATTCGACCTTCACTGAACTGTTCAAGTGACCTTTTTTTTTTTTTTTTAGGATTTTTTAAATTTATTTGAGAAGAGAGTGCCCACACACATGAGTGGTGGGGACGGGGTTGCAGAGAGAGAGAGAGGGAGAAGCTGACTCCCTGATGAGCAGGAAGCCCGATGCGGGACCCCGGGATCATGACCTGAGCCGAAGGCAGATGCTTAACCGACTGAGCCACCCAGGCGCCTCATGTCCGAGTGATCTTTCTAACAGAAGTTCTGATCTCCCTCAAGGCTTGGGCCTAAAAACTTTCTGCTCTGCTGCTTGGCCGCCTGGCCTTGCCTCCCTGGCCAGCCTTGTCATTCCCCGTTTACTGTGCTGTGGCTCCATATACAGTGGCCCAGTACTCTTCCCTGGACCCATGATGCTGCCCAAATCCCTGTAGCTCTTTCTGTCCCTCTTCCCAGCGTGTGTGTCACACTTTCAAGGGTCCCCTCCCTCTCCAGTCTCAGGGAGAGGCCCTTTCTCTGCTCCCCTATTCCTCCCATCCACTTCTGTGCAGTGGTAGATGTGTTGGAAAATGTTTAACAGCAGGCTTTCGCGGGGGGCCGGTTTGGGGTGCATCCTGATTTCCATGGTATAAACATTTCATTAGCACAGAGTTGGAGAGATCTGCACAGTCAGGAGCACTGGTCCAGGCTGGCTTTAGCACACCTCCACTTAGAACCCTTTAAATGAGATTTTTTTGTGGCGCCTGGGTGGCTCAGGTGGTTAAGCGTCTGCCCTCGGCTCAGGTCATGGTCCCGGGGTCCTGGGTTCGAGCTCCACATCGGGCTCCCGGCTCAGCAGGGAGCCTGCTTCTCCCTCTGCCTCTGCCTCTCCCCCTGCTCGTGTTCTCTCTCTGTCTCTCTCTATCTCTGTGTCTCATATGAATAAATAAAATCTTTAAAAAAAACTAAATTAGATGTTTTTCTTCCCATTTTGGTTCTTTGAGGACAGGAGTGAGGCTTTGGGTTTTTTTTCCCCCCTTAATTTTTTTTTTTTTTTAAAGATTTTATTTATTTTTTTTGAGAGAGAGACAATGAGAGATAGAGAGCACAAGAGGGAAGAGGGGCAGAGGGAGAAGCAGACTCCCCGCCGAGCAGGGAGCCCGATGCGGGACTCGATCCCGGGACTCCAGGATCATGACCTGAGCCGAAGGCAGTTGCTTAACCAACTGAGCCACCCAGGTGCCCTTCCCCCCTTAATTTTTGTATCTGTTATTACATAAACGAAGGTGGTGGCAGGGCAGGCGGAAAAGGAGAATCTGCAAGTCCTGCAGGCGTCTGAGTGGGTGGGCAAGTCAGGACAGCCCACAGGCCTGGGTTCTGGGTGGCTGGGATTAACTGTGCATGATGATGGGCTGCGGAAACGAAAGCAAAAGTGCGGGACTGCTGAAGCTGTCTGTGGGTGAGGAAAGCAGTGGCGTGCCTTTTCCTTCTTTGTAAACAGAAATGTTTGTTTTCCATAGATGAGCAGCAACAGCAATAAAAGAGCTCCAACAACAGCGACCCAGCGGCTGAAACAGGACTATCTTCGAATTAAGAAGGACCCGGTGCCTTATATCTGTGCTGAGCCCCTCCCTTCCAATATTCTTGAATGGTAAGGCTCTGCATTGCCGTTCACCTCACACTGACTGGCATCTGGGTTCTCTGCTGGCTCCCATCATGGCATTGGGAAAGGTGTACTCCCTCACTGCCCCTACTCAGTGTTCTCAAATCGGGCACCGGAATTGGGAGCAGTGACAAATTAAGGCCATGTTCCTGGGTGTGTCACGTGCTTAGCTCTGAGGGTTGTTCCTGGTCTGCCAACGTAGGATGACAGTGTTTTTGGAGTCAGACGTATCAGCCAGCATGGTCCACAGCGGTAAGGCGGTGTTTGTGGGATGGGGGTTTGTGAAGGGATGGTCTGGTCTTGCGTTTCCGGTTGGTTCTACTTTCTCCTTTGTGCTTTTCTGTTTTGTTTGAAAAATCTCTTGAGTTCGAACACCTCTTGACATACAGCTGAAGCTCTTTGTTTATGTGGGCGAGTGGAGTCTCTGGGTGCAGCTGCTTTTGCGCTGTGCGGGGACTTCAGTGACGGGCTTGGGCTGTGCCTGTTCCTCCTGCTGCAGGTCAGCCATCTGAGGTCAGGTCTGCTTCTCCCAGAACATCAACGCTGGGGGCACAGAGCCACCTCATGTCACCAGCTGTTCCCTGCTCGGCCTACTTCATAATACTTGGGCACGCTGAAAAATGCAAGTTTCCAAGTACACCTCAAGAATGTATGTGAAGTTAACATTGGAAAAATTGTCATTTGGCTATAATGGTTAGAGAGGATTCCTCTCTTGCATATTGTAGACATAAAAATACTCTGTGGAAAACTCAGAAGATACGGTTTTTAAGATTCTGTTACAAAGCGACTAAACCGTCTACAGTACAAGTTCACCTATTCCAATATTTGTGAATATCTAGTGTTGGCTGGACCCTACAAACCCCAGCCTTGGAATGACTCTAAATTTGGAGAATTTTTCATCCCCAGAGCTAGCTGATTTTCTTCTCTCCCTCAGGCACTATGTGGTCCGAGGCCCAGAGATGACCCCTTATGAAGGTAAGTTTTTAATCTGCGAGGAACAAGAGTCCGTTTGACCTTCTGAATAGACCTCACCGATCAAACACTTGGTATTTGTGAATCACGCCCTGTTTTGGATGTGCATTAGTGAGACTGGACTTGCTTGGAATCCATCCCAGTGTTTCTCCAGGTCCTAGAAGTGTTTGGTTTTGCCATTGTGTTCAGTCTTCGGGGGCTATCTGTAAGTCTTAGGGTTTACCCAGCCTCTGACGTCAGTAGGATCAGAGCCGCAAGACAGACCTGGTGAGCGGGACAGTGCGGCCAGTTTCTCCCGGGGTTTGTTCAGACCAGCATGAGTGTTGTCGGAGGAAGGAAAGGTGTATTTATGGAGCACTCACTCTGCTGCGCCCTCTGAGCTAAGTGGTTGGGCCCCTTTGTGGATGGGGCACTGCGGCTTAGGGAGGATCTGCTCTGGGTCAGCTGGGCACCTCTGCTCTCCTAACTGCTGCTGAGGCTGATCCGGTGGTGCCTCTCAGGGTCCTCTGGTGTCATTCACAAAGTAGACCTGGGATTAGCCAGCACATCAGGGGGCTGCAGGGAGCCTGGCACCAGCCTCAGAGTTTAGGCCAGGGTGAGAGATGAGCCATGGCAGGACAAGCCCAGGGCAGAGCTGTGGCCAGGTGGGCAGTACCTTCAGCTCTCTAGCCACTGGGTCCTCACTTCAGGTGACATCTCCCTCCACATGGGGCTTTTGCGTAAGATTTCACTGGAAAAGAGTCCAGCTGCTGGAGGAGAACGTTTGGCCTATGTGTCACTAACTCTCCTTTGATGCAGGAGTCCCTGTTATGGGAAGATGTGTCCTAGGGAGACAGGTGCAGACCTCTCTGTAGGTTGGGTGTGTTCATAGTGACATGCTGGGGACTGCCCGAAAGCCCAACAGTGGCATGTGGGCTTGATGGGCTTGCAGTGGGTTTCCTAGAAATGCAGCAAAAGTACGGGCTTTATGGCCGTTCGGACAGACCATGTTAGAATGCTTGTTAGGGTGCCTGGGTGGCTCAGTCGGTTAAGTGACTGCCTTCGGCTCAGGTCATGATCCTGGAGTCCCGGGATCGAGTCCCACGTCGGGCTCCCTGCTTGGCGGGGAGTCTGCTTCCCCCTCTGACCCTCCCCCCTCTCATGCTCTCTGTCTCTCATTCTCTCTCTCTCTCAAATAAGTACATAAAATCTTTAAAAAAAAAAAAAAAAAAGAATGCTTGTTAAATATGTGTTTTCTGACACAGTAGGACATGAGTGTGTGCTCTCTCACAAGGGGCATTGTGCCTGCTTTTTAAGTTTATTTTTTTATAGTTTTAGTATTTTTTGAATAAATAGTGAACATTTATTAATTTTTGTATCCAGGCCTGTTGCTGCTGGAAATGAGCCTGGACAGGGGTGGAGGCAGCGGGGAGAAGAGAGGGCAGGCCCCGAGCGAAGGCATGCAGGGCTGGGACTACAGGAGACCCCCATACCCCCCAGGCCCTGGCTAGCATGGGGTCTCCTGTCTCTGTAGAAAGAGGTGCCCTCTTTTCAGACCCAAGCCTGTCACTAATGCTTTCTTGTGTCTGGTACTCCCCTGTGCATTTCCCTGCTGGTTCCGGCCCTCAGGCTGCCAGCAAGATTCCCTTCAGAGACAGAGCTTTTCCTGCTGCCCCTCCTCCCCCTTCTTTCTTCCTCCTCCTCCTCCTCCTCTGCCCACTTCAGCACCTACTCCTGTCCCCTCCCCTGCTGCCCATCCTCTCCTCAGCTCAGGGCTACACTCTGCAGCCTGCAGCCCTTCCTTCTGCTGACCGCTCTCACCTGGGTCGATAAGGGACCCCTCCGAACTACCAGTCCGAGGGACAGATCTCAGGCCTCAGTGTCTGGGGTTCTGTGGACTCTAGTGGCGTTGACTCTGGCTTCCTCCTCACTTGCTTCTCCTCTGACTTCGGGGTGTCCTGAGCTTTCCTTCTCAGTCTCTCAGGGCCCTTCTCCCTGTCCGTGTCTGCTTGGCACAGTGTACTCCAGGTGCACCGACCCTAACAGTTCTGAAGCGGCCTCCTGCTAGCGTGGGTGTCGCTGAAGATTCTCCCTGAATTGATTTGTAGGTTTTACACAATCTTATCAAAGTCGTAATAAAAGTTTCTTGTAGGCATACACAGATTCATTCTGAGATTTTTATTCTAGAATATATACGGAAAGGCAGAGGATCTAGAGCAGCTAAAACAAGAATAAAGTGGGAGGAGTCACTCTGCTTGATTTTTCAGACTTGTGTAGCCTCAGTGAGCAGACTGGAGGGAAATGTGGAAATGCAGGTCAGTGGAACAGAGTAGAGAACCCAGGAACGGTCTGGCACAGCTGTGGCCTGTGGATTTTTTTCTTTTTTCCCCACTTTGTTACAAAAGCAGTTCAGCGGAGGAAGGGCAGCGTTGAAGGGCAGCATCGTGCTGGGTGCTCTCCCTGGCCTCCTTCCAGGGACACAGTGCTCTCTGTAGTTTCTGTCCCCAGGGCTTGGCCAAGGCTGTGCTCCTCGCTCCGTCCCCTGCGGACACTTGGAATGAAGGGTGTGGGAGCTGCTGGCCTTGCACTGCTTCCCTGCCCTCCCTGGAGGCTCTGTCCTCCCATGTCCCCTGCTTGGCCTTTTCACCTCTCAGGATGAGCCGTCCTGGGCCCCCCTCCAGCACAGATCCTCCCAGGATTCATCTTCTGCACTGTAAGGGGCACCGAGATGTGGAGGTTGGCATGCTTCTGTGGCTCTGCGTGCGCCACCTGCTGCATGTCGTGCAACTTGCTGTTGGCTTCTCCAGTTTGCTCCCTGTGTTGCCTCTGCCAGGCTCCTGCATGGAGCCCTTCCCTCGGCGGAAGGTTTTCACCTAGCGTCTGTCCAGTAGATCGCAGGAGGTCGAGCCGCGGGGTCAGCGCAGGTATTGAGAGTTCTCTTTCCCTGGCAGGTGCACACCTGTGCCTCGAGGCAGTGTCTTCCCACTACCCGCCCCCCCAAGCTACATGTGGCCGCCATTTCTTGTGTAGCGCTGAGCCAGACCGTCTCAAACGCGCATTGACTCTTCCTGCCTTCCTCTTAGGAAACGCCCTTGTTGGTATCACTTGCCTGTTTCCCAGTTTGGCTTTTTTTTCTTAGTGATTTTGAGTGTGTGTGCTCTGAGTGTCATTTATAGTGTTAGTCTCTCACTGGTGGACTTGTTGGCCTGTTGGGTTGGCCTTACGAGGGACACTTGCTCATGTCATCCGTCCACCACTGGCAGAACTTGGAGTAGAAGACTGCACTCACGTGAGGGGCTGGGGCTCTGGTGGGGAGCCCAAATGAGGTGGTGGGGAGGCCCTACCCAAGAGTGGCTTTGGAGCAGACACGTGTGACTCTTTGGGACTAGTGTGCCCTAGTCCGTGAAGTGGGACCACACCCAGGGTACCGGGGGCAGCAGGGAGACCAGGTGGAGGTGAGGGCGGCTCGTGAGGCCTCACTGTGCAAGCATGTATGCATGCAGACATCCCCAGGTGTCCTGTCAGTGTGTGTTCTACTTAATGTGCCCGTGGTGGGCCCAAGGCTCTGCATTTCCAACAGGCTCCCAGGTGCAGCCCTGAGAGGGTGTAAGGCCTCAGGTAGGCATGGCCAGTGGGACTGGGAACTGAGTGGGCAGGCCTGAAGGCTATGAGGCTAGCAAGGTCACCCAAAGTGTGGGTCCTGATCAGTTTGAAGGTGTGGCCAAAAGGATTTGCTGATGGAGTAGGTGTGAAACGGCGGCAGGGCCAGGGGGTGGGGGGTGGGGTGGCAACGGGGCCTCCCAGATCTTAGTCTGAATGCCCAAGAGGATGGAATTGCTGTTTGGGGGAAATAGCTGGAATTTTCTCTTGGACCTGTCTGGGCAGTGTTGCCTGGATGGTCTGTCCATGGGTCTGGAGCTAGGGGTGGGGGCCCAGAGGCCCAGGCGGAGGTGCTGGTTGGAGAGTAATTATCGTATCCTCGTGTCACGTGAGACCGAGACCCGGAAGGTGAGTGGTCAGGGAGGGTACCAGAGGGGCCAGTGGCCAGTGCTTACGGGGTGGTGTGGGACTGGGGAGCCAGGCCAGGGTGGGGCTTGAGGAGGCAGGCTCAGGAGTGGTTGTGAGGTGTGAGGGGAGGTCTGGTGATCTCCATGTCAGCTTTGGGAGACCATGGTGGGAGCATGAGCCTCGTCAGGGTGGACTTGGGCGTAGCTCTCTGGGGATTTCACAGAAAGGAGAGTGAGCCATTGGCAGGCGTCCCAAGGCGGGTGGCGGCCAGAGTTTTGTTTTTTTGTGTTTTTACGGTGGGAGAAATGACGGCAGGTTTGCTTGCTGCTGGGTGTAGTTTGGTGGGGAAGGAGAAATGAGTAGTGCAGGAGGGAGGGGATCTGAATAGGGGTGACCTCAGCTGACATGCTGGGGAGGGCGGCAGGCGGGGGGGCCAGTGAGGAGCCCAGTGCAGCTTCTTTTCTGATGCTGTGCTCTGAGTGAGAGAGGGCACGTAGGAAGGTTGAGCAGGGTTGTGTGGTGGTCATGTGGGGCAAGGGCTGCCCCTAACTTTTGGTCATGAGCCCCCAGTGAGACCTCCAGCAAGACTCTTGTGTTCCAGGGGTGGTCAGCTGGAGGGCACAGAGATGGGGGAGAGCAGGTGGGGTGGGATGGGAGGCCAAGGGTATTGATGCCAGCCTGAGGGCTGGAATGGGGCTGGGTTGGAGGGGTTTGCCCCCACAGGAGTTGCACTGTGGACCATGACCAGGGTCTGTCTTTCTTTTGATGTAGGTGGTTATTATCATGGAAAACTAGTTTTTCCCAGAGAATTTCCTTTTAAACCTCCTAGTATTTATATGATAACGCCCAATGGAAGATTTAAGTGCAATACAAGGTAAGGCATTTCTGCTTCTCAAGTGTTGAGTGGGGTCAGGATTTGGGGTGAGCTCTATTGAGTGGGTCCCTGTTTTGCAGGCTGTGTCTTTCCATCACGGATTTCCACCCCGACACGTGGAACCCGGCCTGGTCTGTCTCCACCATTCTGACGGGGCTCCTTAGCTTCATGGTGGAGAAGGGCCCCACCCTGGGCAGCATAGAGACATCGGACTTCACGGTGAGGGCTGGAGAGCATGGTCACGTGTTGTGGGGCTCCCGCTCATGTCCTTGCTCCCCAGGAACACTCACTGCTCTGGGGTTCCTTATTCTCATCAGCAGGCGGAAGAACGGGCCGAGCTTCCTCAGGGGTCTTGGGAGGGGTGGGCAACACCACTGGTTTTATTTTTCTATTGTTTAAGTAGGAATCAAGTTTAATGTTACTAATTGATGATAATGAAAAGATAAATAAGCCTTGATAAGACTAAATTAGTTTGTTGTGAAGAGTGAGTTTATTGAGTGTTTTCAAAAATGTGAAGACAGCAGCTTTTGAGGATAAAATAGTCTTTAGAATTTGAAAGAATTGAAGTTTATCTTCGGACTGATTATTTCCCTTCTCTTTCTTCCTAGAAAAGACAACTGGCTGCACAAAGTTTAGCATTTAATTTGAAAGACAAAGTCTTTGGTGAATTATTCCCTGAAGTTGTGGAGGTAAGGAACAGACACTGCCAGTCGGTTCTCCCCCCTTGCACATCGGAATCTTCCAGAGAGAAGACGGTGCTGCTCTGTGTCCCTGTGCTGCAGACACACAGCACAGAGGGCACCTGTGCCCATGGGCACCTGCAGGAGCTAACTGGCAGGCGCAGCCCCGCCCCTCTCCTTCAGGTGCCCAGAGTCAGGGGGGCTTGGATGCTGGGGTTGGAGCTGGAGAGGCCAGGGAAAGGGAACTGGACGTCAGGGCGTGGAGCTCCTCAGGTGGGCTGCTGAGCTGCAGGGAGGGCCCTTGGCCAGGAGGGGCAGGGTGAGCTGCACTAAGGTTGAGGCCGTGGTGATTCCTTGTCACTTGGACCTGCTCGGCCTAGGCCCTGAGAGGTGCAGGCTTGTGATTTTGACAAGTCCCTGGGCCCCCTCATCTCTAAGACAGGGTTAGCAGCAGCCCCCACCTCCAAGGGTGGGTATCAGGATTGAGTACATGGGGCTGGCGACTGCGGGCCCCACAAGTTTTTGTGGTGCATCTTAGAACCCTCCCTAGTCTTAAAGGAACTCGTTTGTTTAGACCAACCCTTGTTTCTTTTTGTTTTTATCTTAGGAAATTAAACAAAAACAGAAAGCCCAAGACGAACTCAGTAGCCGACCCCAGGCTCTCCCCTTACCAGATGTGGTTCCAGATGGGGAAACACACCATGGTCAGAACGGGCTTCAGCTCCTCAATGGGCATGCGCCAGGGGCTGGGCCACACCTCGCAGGGCTCCAGCAGGTCAACCGGCACCACGGACTCCTGGGCGGTGCCTTGGCGAACTTGTTTGTTATAGTTGGGTTTGCGGCTTTTGCCTACACGGTCAAGTACGTGCTGAGAAGCATAGCGCAGGAGTGAGCCACATGCCACGGCCGGCAGAAGTGGTCAGAAACGAGGGACACTGGGCCCGAGCTTGCCATGGGCTGGCTGGACATGCCGCCGAGTGCAGGGTGGACCTGCCTGACTCCTGGGGTTAGCTTTTTAAAAACCTTGAAAAGGAAAACAAAAACCAAAGTGTGTAATTTGGATTTAGAGGAGATGCAAGATTCTCAGCTCCCTGTCCTCGCTCTGGGGTCGTTGGGGACCATGGAGCTTGGGTGTCGAGGAGGAGGGGCCTCACGCTTTGGTTTTATAGCTTATCTCCTGTATCGTCTTTTGGACCTGTTTTAGTAAACCTGTTTTTCATTTTATTAGATTTGGTCACTTAAAAATACAAAACTCGATTATCAAATACTCTGCGTGCATTCTTAGTCCAGCGGAGCCCTGGCTCAGCAGGCAGGAGGAGTTTCCACAGCTGCGCCCGGCTGGCAGGGGCAGGGGGCCTGGCTGTGGGGCCCAGGGGCTGGCCAAGGACAGCCACAGACGGGGTCCAGGAGACGTGGGGCTTGGCCTCAGCATTTGAAATGTGTTTTGTTCACTTGGAAAGAAGCAGTCTCTCGTAGGAAAGTGGGTTCTTTGTTTTGCTGAAGTTGAAATTCAGCAGCTGCTTGCTGTCTGACCACAAGGTGGCACCCTTTACTTGAAGAGCCACCATGCCCTGTGCGGTCCCTAAGGCTGCTTCCGGTTTATCCCCTAACCTCCTTGCCTCCACACCCGTGCCGGGCTGGGCCGGGCCCCGCACTGCCACCTCCAGGTTCCCGGATGCTGCAGGAGGTGGCCCCTGGTGCCCACAGGACCTTTCCTCTGACCCTAGCAGCCCCCCGTGGATCTGCGCCTGACAGGCAGGTTCTGTGCACTGTGAGGCTCTCCTCACACTTGGTCCAGATCTTTGCTTTACCCTAAAGATAGGGTCACGTGTTCCTTTTCGCAGCTGGTCCGTGTCTGGTATGGGCTCTGCCCTGGAAGATCACACGTGGACTGGGCATCACGGGAAGTGAAGGCTGCCCAGGAAGGGCAGGGCCGGTGGGGTGGAGATGGCCCCCTGGCTGCTGACGTCTTCCATCAAGCGCCTGTTTGATGATTTCACTTGCACGTCGTTTGAAAGCACTGTGTCTGTGGGTCCCGGGCTGAGGGGCTGTGACCTCACTCCAGGGGCCACAGCGGCCTCAAGTGCAGCCACGCACTTGTACATCTTCAACATTCTTTGGTTTTTGATCGGTTTATTTAAAATTGCTCTATAATTTACCACTTGTGTGTATTTAATCCACTCTTGTGAAAAAAATCTTTCATTATATCTTTGTTCCTAAATGTTGTGCTGTTTGAGTCTCTTGGTGGAAATGCAAGTCCATCTCAGCCCATTGCCAGGCTCGCCCCCGGACAGGCCAGTGGCTTGGCCTGTGGCGGGGCTGGAGCTACTGTGTGTGCAGCGTGGTGGCACCCCGTGACTAGCCATGGGCCCTGGCAGCAGCGCCACACCGCTAGGCCCGGACCCCTGCGTGCAGTGGTAGGCAGGGGCAGGCTCCGCCGGGCCTCCTCTGCTGTGCTGGATGCCGGGCCTTACCCTCTGTCCATGGCCGGGTCTGATCCAAACACTTAAGTGTTTCCTGAGGTTTTGAGGAGGCAGATTACATAGCAAATATTTTACTTAACGTGGGTTACTTCCGCACCATATGTGAAATCTCAACTATTAAAAACCCTTTGTCAGTGGTAGAAATAGATCCGTGCTGTACAGAGCTTTCACCCGGTGTCCAAGGCGGCAAGCTGTCTGCAGTGACCCAAGGTAAAGGATGACCTTGGGACGCCTGGCTGGCCCATTTGGAAGAGAAGGTGACCCTTGATCTCGTGGTTGTGAGTTTGAGCCCCATGTTGGGTGTAGAGATTGCTTAAAAAAAAAAAAAAAAGAACTTGTCCTGTGGGTCTGCACGTCTGACCCCGTGTCCGTGTTGCTCTCCCTTGGAGGGGTCACTGGCCCCTCCCTCTTGTGTGGAGTCCCTGGTGGAGGGCAGTTGGGCGTCCCCAGTAGTTGTCCCAGCTGAACCGCTGGGTGTAAGCTGTGTTTGGAGTCTCTTAATCCAGGGGGGAAGCCCCTGACCAAACTCCGGCTGCACGGACACGGGTGAAGGGTCCTAGAGCGTGGAGAGTGGTCTTGCGAAGGGCGTCCCCAGCATCTCCCCCCCAAGAAGCTTCCCCAGGCCTGAGTCTGAGACTCGAAACTGCAAATGGAGCCGAGGGGTCTGGGTCTGGGTCTGAGGCTGGAGCGACCCTCGGTGCGTCGGGGGGCAGACGGCTGTGGGGACGATGCCCAGTGTCTGGGTTGTGGCTTTGTGGGTACAGAGACGCGGCCGCTGCCCTGGACCTCCCCTCCGGGGGCACTAGGTGTCCGTGGCAGTAGGGTGTGGAGGACTGGGGGGCAGGGTCTCTGGTGGTTTTCCAGGCCGCTCCTGTGCGCCCGGCGGGAGCTGGGCCGCCGGGAGGAACCATGGGCTGCAGGGGAGAGGGGGAGGGGGCACTGAAGAGCAAAGAGCTGCTTCCTGACACTGGACCCGAGCCCAAGGGGGCCACGTCCCCCTGTAGAGCACAGCTCTGCTGAGACTCGTGAACCATTGGGCCAGCGAAGTGGCTCCCGCTTCCTGCTGATTGTCGAGGTGCCTGGGGATGGGAGCAGAACCCATGGTTCAGCCATGGCTGGGCCTGTTTTGAGGCCCACTGCCGTGTGGCTCCCCCATCCAGCTTCAGAGGTGGTCTGCTCTAGGTCGACCTGCCTGTAGGACCGTGCTGGAAGCTGGCCGGTTGGCGGTGCCCACACAGCAGCCAGTCGGAGATGGTGCATTGCCCCTGGCACTCTGCGGACACACTGAAGCCCTGACGGATTGGGCCATCAGGTGCCCAGCCTCCTGGGCACCCCAGGAAGGGTCTAGCAGCTCAGTGGAGTCTCCTGGGCTACCTTCCTGACCTGGTGTTGGGTGCAGGTCACATCCAGGGTTCCAGCCGGGCAGAGCACAAGGGGATCTTCTGCAGCGTGGCCCCCTTCAAGACCCAGGCATTGGGAGCCGGCTCACCAGCTGGACACCCGGAAGAGCTGAGGCTCCAGCAGCGACCTTGGACTTCGCCATAACTGCCCACTGTTGTCCCTGGGCCAGACCACCTCTGCCTGAACCAGGAGGGGGATGGATGACCCCAGGCTGACTCTCCTCACATCTTCCCCACCAGGCTGGTTTCTGGGGCAGCTCTGCCTGTAGTGGCCATGGACATGGTCTGGGGCTGGGGTCTGCCTTCATCGTTCCTAGTGGACGTCTGGAAATTGAGGAGTGCCGGGAGGAAGACTCTTAGGCTGTCCACTAGGACTAGTGTGCCCTGCTTCCTCTAGACTGCACTGCAAGCAGCAGCTCCTCTGGGACCTAGCCATGGCTCTGACCGTCCCTAGTCCTGGTCCACTGAGGGGCAGCGGTCAGCCCCCCCGGGCCCCCGTTTCGTGGTGACTGACTCTGCAAGGTTTTGTTGGCTTGAGCTGGCCCTGGTCATCCTGTTGCCTACAGTGGGCAGGGGGTTAAGGAAGGGCCCTAACTCTCCCTGGGGACCCACCCACTGGTTTTCAGGTCCAGCTGGGGGGAAATCTTGTGCTCCCTCTCCTCGGGCTGGACAGCTGTGGAGGGAGCAGGCTCCTCTGGCAGGGCTCACCGTCGTGCTGAACTCCGGATTGCAAAGGCCTGGGGACTCATGTCCCTTTCCCCTGCTGGCTCAGGACAGCAGGGAGCCAAGAGGCCTGGTTGGGTGAGGGCACCCCCTCAGGCTGCAAGGGTTGGCCTTGTGCCCCGAGAAGAGGAGTGGGTAGAGGGACTCGGGGAGCCTCAGCCAGGTCACCCGCCCTGCCTTTCTCTGAGGTCAGTCAGTCCCTCCCCTCGCTAGCCATGCTCACCCCCAGTGGAGGGCCAGTGCCCAGGGTCACCTAGACCAGGACAAGGCTGGGAGCCCGGCAGGTCAGCTGTCCTTCCTAGGTCCTGCCTTTCTAAGGAGTAGGGTCTGAACCAGGCTTCCGGGCATCCCTGGCACCCTGGGGTCTGGGGACCTCTGTCAGAGGGCCTGGAGGGGGCCTGTGGTAGGGCTGGAAGGATCCGGAGGGGCTGAGTGAGGTGGGTCATATGTAGGAAGGGCAGATGGGGCTGTCCGTCCTGATGGAGTTTGTCCCTACCCTGGGACCTCCTGGGCCACCACCCTGAAGGGGCTGGGTGTGAGGTGCCAGGAGCTTAGCTGGGAGGCGGGTGGAGTGAATTCATGTTAGTTTCCAGGGTGAGCTGGCCCTCCTGGAGAAGGGTGGGGGCTGTTTCCAAAGGCAGGGAGCGCCCGGGGGAGGTGCAGCCCCTTGCAGCAGCCTAACGCCCCCGTCCACGCCCCCGGGCTGGCGGGGGAGCCCTTGTTGGCTGGCAGACCAGCAGAGTGTGAGCCCTCCCCCTTGGAGTTTTGGGGAGGAGGGGAGGGCTTATTTGGCGGCGTGCACGGGCAGCCCGGGCACTGCGTGTGAGGGGAGGCCGGCGCCGGCCCCAGCCTGCGGGATCCCAGGAGCGCGGCTGCCTCTGCCGGGTCCCTTGTGTTGCCTGCCCGTCGTGGTGCCCGTCGAGCCGCTGCTCCAGGCTCGCCCTGCCTGCGCATGCACGGGGGGCGGCTAGGCGCCCCCTGGGGCTGTGTCTCCCCCCGGGGGCCCTGAGTGCTGGCTGCACTGCCGCCCCCATGAGCACACCTGGGAGTCCCCGCTCGCCGCGCTGAGCCGCCACCAAGGTCTGGAGCCGCTGGGCGCCATGCGCTGGGCTTGGGCCGCCGCCACGGTCCTCTGGCTGCAGGTCATGCTCCTTGGGGGCATCGGGGCGCGGCGGGAGCCCAAGAGGCCACGGCAGCCCAGCCAGCGCACAGAGCCCCCCACGGCCACCGCGTCCAACAGCGAGGGGCTGCTCCGCTCCCCCAAGGTACGCACGGGCTGGTTACTCGTGGGTGCGGGTGTGCGCGCACTCACAGGCTTCAGGCGGCGCCCCCCACCCCGGCTCTGGGCTGTCCTCCCACTCGCAGGCTCTGCCCTGCCCGGCCCTCCAGGCCTCCCCGTCCTGTCTTGGTGCAGTGGGGCTTTGGGCAGGACTTGCTGCAGTGGCTCTTGGGGCAGCCACTGGGTCCCCCGGGCCCAGGGGAAGGGTGGGGGGAGGGGAGGGCCTTCCCAGAGGGGATGCAGCAAACCCTTTGAAGTCCCAGGTCGTCCCACGTGCCTCTAGCAGCTTGCTGCCCTTGGGTGTAGTTGCTAATTCAGGAGTGGGGCGGGGCCGGGGGGGAGCTCTGGACCCCTTGTTGGGAGCCCAGGTATCCCACAGCTTGAGTGGCTGGAGAGGCTAAGGCTAGCCTGGGCTCTGTGCTTGCTGGAGGTCCTTGCCCTGACCCCCACTGTGTAGCCAGCACCCCCTATGGCCTCCCTCAGCCCCGGTCCCCTCCACCCTCTTGGGCCCAGCATCTCCTGAGGGGGTCTTGGCACTGACCCCACCCACACAGGCCTGGTGGTTTCACACAGCTGTCCACCTGGGGGCCGCAGGAAAGGGAGAGGCAGCGGCTGGGACAGGCTCCCCCACCCCCCCAAGCCCTCGTGCCTTTGATCCTGGCCTCCCGCCTCCCAAGGGCGTCTCTGCGGCGGCCAGCCCGGCTGCTCTCAGCCCACGCAGCCCATTGGAGCCCGAGGCCCCATTTTCCAGATGGGCAGGCTGAGGAGAGTGAGTCCTTGGGCCCTGCCAGCCAGAGAAGGGTGGGCTACCGACAGCTTCTGGGGGCAGGCACGGGTCCTTCTGGGGATAATCAGGCAAATCTCTATATTCCAGGAGTGGCCTCCATGGTGGGGGGCTGCCATGGGACACATACCCCAGGACAGCCCTCCCCCGACATGGGGACCCCTGCTCTTTCTGCTAGGGGTGGGCTCATCTTCCACCTGCCCCTTGGCCCCTAGACACCACTCATGGACTTGTCTCTCCAGGCTCCTGGGTCCCTCAAGCGTGGCTAGGGCGGGTGGCAGCCAGGAGATCAGGCAGATAACAGATATGCGAGGAACCAGGACATTCAAATATTCTTGGCTTCTCTCTCTTCTCTGGGTGGGGCCCAGATCAGGGGTGGGAGGCACCCCACCCTCCTGCCCCTCCCATCCCCCAGGATAGAGGCCTGTCTGGTCGGCTGAGAAGCCCTGGCCCTCCCGGGTCAGGAGGCAGCACCTGCCCCGGGGAACCTGGCTCTTACCATATTTGGGACTGAGGTCCGACTGCTGGACTGGACCTGCCTGAGTCAGGACCTCTCAGCTTGCCCTGCCGGGAACAGCTCTCCGAGAGTGGCCAGGGCTCTGCTAGCCCCATGATGGTGGCTCTCTCCCAGCCAGGCCAACATCTGCTGCGTTCCTGCCCATTTCCTGAGCTTCCTGTTGGAGCCTGGCATGCAGATTTCCTCAGAGGCAGGCCGACTCTCTCCTCAGCCCACGCCCCCGTACTTAGCATGATGTGCTCCTTCTTTGACTTTGGGGTTAGGGTGCTCCTGACTCTCCTGCCTGCCCTGGTGCAGAAACTGGGCTTAGGAGGGGGTGGTTGGAGGGTGGAGGGGGCATGGTCTTAGGCAGCTCCGCTCTGCCCCTCCCAGACCTTGCTTGAACAGCCAGGTGGGCTGGCCAGCTGTGGCCTGGGTCCGAGCCTGAGGGGCGGGGCCGGCAGGAGTGCCAAGGCTGCCCGCTCACACCCCCTGATGCCCAGCACAAAGCAGAGCCTGTGCCCATCCTCACCCCAGCTTGGCGTGGCTCTGAAGCTCTTGGGAAGCCCCCCCCCCCCACTGCCCCACCAAAATTTGCTCCTGCTCTTTACTGCCTACCTGTTGGGGCGTGTGGGGCTGGCCCCATGAGCACATGGGTGTGCCTGTCTGCTGGGGAACCCGGTGCGGTGGGAAGGGACACAATTGCTCCAATACAGAACCAAAACCAAGGTGCCTGGACATCAGGTCCTGGCTTCCACAAAGGAAGCCCTGGCCGCGTGTGTCCTGGTCTGGGTCCCCAGGGGTGGCCTGCGGTGTCCCATTGCCATGTGTCTTGTGTGTGCCCTGAGTCCTACCCAAGGTGGCCTGGGCCGAGTTCCCCTCCTCACTGGGGCAGTAAGGCAGGACTCAGGGGCCCCGTGGCCGCACACCAGCTCTGTCCCCTGGCCCTGCAGCCACCTGAGGTCCTGGGGTCTGAGTTCTCAGACGCCCACATGACATGGCTGAACTTCGTCCGGCGGCCAGATGAGGGGGCCTCGAAGACACGGTGCCGGGGCCGGGACAAGAAGTCGGTGAGCCCCGGGGTCTGAACCCAGGGCAGGGGTGGCTGTGGTTCCCACTGGGACCCTCACTTTCTCCTGCCTCTGCCCAGCGAGGCCTCTCTGGCCCTCCCGGGCCCCCCGGACCCCCCGGGCCCCCCGGACCCCCCGGTGCTACAGTCACCCAGGAGGCCCTGCTGCGAGAGTTTCAGGAGATGCTGAAAGGTGAGGCTGCTGTCCTGGACTCTTCCCACCTGGGCCCTGGGGGTGACCGCCCCAACCCCAAGACGCTGCCCTCACCCTTTTCCCCACAGAGGCCACCGAGCGCCGGTTCTTGGGGCTGCTGGGCCCATTGCTGCCTGAGGGGACAGGGGGGCGGCTGGTGGCCGAGGCTTTCCACTGTGCACTGAAGGGCCCCATGGTGGTGGACGAGAAGACGCTGGTGGAGCTGCATGGCTTCCAGGCTGTGAGTGCACGTGGGGGCGAGCCCTGGTCTGCTCGGGGCGTCTGCTGAAGGCCCTCCTCAATGCCAGCAGGGGCCAGTGGGGGGGTGGGCAGGGTGCTGGGTCGGCTCCCCACTGCTGGGCAGGGCTCACACCCAGCACATACACGCAGGGGGCGCCTGGGGGAGCCAGGCGCAGGGGTCGGGGGGGAGGAGGTGACCTGGGTCAGGGTTAGCGCGTCCCGTGTGCCATGACTTTGGGTGGGGTCCAAGGTGGCCAGGAGCCAGGGATGCCCTCCCTGGTGGGGGCTCTTGAGGGTTCGCTCATCCATCCCTTGGGGCCTGGAGCCTGTGCCCTGAGGCCCAGGTGGGCGAAGACACACAGGTTCCCCCCACCCCATCCTGCCCACCTGGGCCCTGCTTGGTGGGGGGGGGGGGGCGGCTGTTGGTCACAGGCCCCTCCCCCAGGCTGGCTGTGCTAGAGGAGGGCCCAGGCCCTGCAGCCGGCTCTTCACCTGCTATCCCTCTAGCCCACGGCCCAGGGCGCCTTCCTGCGGGGGTCTGGCTTGAGCCTGGCCTCGGGCCGGTTCACAGCCCCAGTGACGGCCATCTTCCAGTTTTCCGCCAGCCTGCATGTGGGTGAGTGGGGGCCAGCCCCCAGGCCTGGGTCCCATTGAAGAGGTGCCTCCCGTTCCATCCCCACCTCCCGCAGGGGAGGGGGGTTCTCACTCAGGGCCCACTCTCCCCCAGCCCTCAGCCGCTCCTGGGCCCGCCCCTGGCAGTCTAGCCACCACCCCTCTCTGCTCTGTCCTCCCTGGGGGCTGCTGCAGGCTGGGCCTGTCTCCACAGACCACAGGGAGCTGCAGGGCAGGGCGCGGCCGCGGGCTAGGGACACAGTGCGGGTGCTCGTCTGCATTGAGTCCCTGTGTCATCGACACACGTGAGTGGGCCTTCCTTGCGGGCACTCTTGATGCTGCGGGGGCCGCGGGGGGTGGTGCCCAAGGCTGGACTGTCCTGCCCGGGGAGAGGGAAGGGGCTGCGCCAGACACAGAGCTGTGTAGCCGGGGCGGGGGAGGGGCTGGCCCCACAGCCAGCGTGCCTTCACCCTCGCCCTGCGGCGCCGCGTCCAGGTCCCTGGAGGCCATCTCAGGCCTGGAGAGCCGGGGCAGGGTCTTCACCGTGCATGTGGAGGGGCTGCTGCAATTGCAGGTGAGGCTGGAGGGCTGGATGGGTGGGGAGGGGTCCTGGGCCTGGAGCCTTGGCCTGGCACTGCGCCACCCAGCAAGTGGACGGACATTGGCCATGTCACCCCCGGGGTGGGCGCGGCCTGGTGGGGCTCGAGCTTCATGCCTCCATACGCTGCCCCCTGGGCAGGCGGGCGCCTTGGGTGGGGTGTGCCCATTGTGGGGTGTCTGCAGGCTGGACAGTATGCCTCCGTCTTTGTGGACAACGGCTCCGGGACAACCCTCACCATCCAGAGTGGCTCCAGCTTCTCCGGCCTGCTCCTGGGCACGTGAGGGCCAGACAGGGGCCAAGAGCACCTGCTGGCCCTCATGCACCCACTGTCCTCTGTTAAACCTGTGGTCAGAGCAATAAAGAGCTCTCAGCCCTCCCTGTCTCCTGGATACTGAGTCGTCGTGGAGGTGGGGGTGGGGGTGCAGCCCCGGAAGGACATGTGGTCTCATGTCCAGTCTTGGAGGCGGTGGCCTATGGACACCTGCAGGGTCAGGGGCCCAGACCCATTCAGCCTGGGGCACCAGAAGTCCCCGAAGGCGGTGATGGCAGCCGCACGCCGTGTGCTGTCCCTGTCTGGGGTGCAGAGAGCAAGGTGGGGAGCCCTTGGGAGGGCCTTGTCCGGCGGGGGCAGGCGCAGGGAGCACACGGGTGGGCCCCCCCCCCCCCCCCGCACAGGGCTGCGTACGTGAACCCAGAGGGCGGTGCGCCTCACCCCCAGTGTGCTGAGTGCGCATGCGTTTGCGGGGCGGGGCCAAGGGCGCCCCTCCACTCCCGGAGGCCCGTACAAACCCCAGGTGGGGTGGCCAAGGCCCTGCCTGCGGCTCCTGTGGATTTGGGGCTCTCTACCCCCACCCTGTTTTGGCTCCAGCGAACCCAGACCAAAGAATGTAAATTGGTCTTGGGATGTCCGGGCCTCTGCAGAGCTGCGGAGATACGATCTCTGGTTGGCACCTGGGCCCCCAGCAGGCGGCCCCACCTCGGGGGCCGGGGGCCAGGCCAGGTCCTGGCCCCTCCACAGATGCCTGGGGGCTGGGGGCAGGGCCTGAAGCCCCCTCTCCAGGGCTGAGCAGGGATGGGCAGGGGGCGGGGAGGACAAGGGCTCCCGGGTCTGCCTGCTGGCTCAAGGGGCAAGGAGGGGGAGGCAGGGCGGGAAGAGATCCGAGCCGGAGAGAGCCATTATCCAGCCCCTCCCCTTGGGGACCCTCCCTGCAGCCCGCTGAGTAATGAGGCAGGAGAGTGCTGGTGCCGGGCTGGCGCCAGCCCCCACAGCAACAGGCTTGGCCGATGACCCGTCCTCACCTCTCTCCCTGGTCGCCCCAGGGTGGCGTCAGGGGCGGGGGGCCGAGTTGGGGGCGTCTCTGCTTCACGGTGGCTGCAGGCGCCGGCCCGGTCTGAGCAGCGTGCGGAGATGGGGGGCGCGGCACGGGTGCTTTTCTGGGGAGGTTGGGAGAGGAGGGGCACACCGGGGAGGCGGAAACTCGGGAGGGGGCACTGTCTCCCACTTCCCGTTATTGAGGTCCTGCGCTAGGCTTGGCCGTGGGCACTGTCCATGCCGGACACCCGTTTACAGAGGGGAAACGGGACGGGGATGCTGAAAGGTAGTGCCCAGCGCCCAGCCGGACTCCCAGCCGGGCCTGGGGCCTCACTGCATCCAGGGGGCTCCCCCCACTCCCCTGCAGGTCCTGCGACGCCAGCCAGTGCCCTGCCTGGTCAGGTCCAGGAGGGGACAGCTCTCACGGTACCCAGACGTGCTTTGGGGACTGCGACGACAGAGATGGAGACCCAGACCCAGAGATGGGGCCCAGGGTCCACAGAGAGTGACAGACAGGGGTTGACAGATGAGAGAGGCGAGGACATGAAGGACAAACCAGGCCGGCCCCTTGGAGCCCACGGTGGCCAGGTGGCCAGGGCCCCGGGCCCGCCGCGCGACTGCACCTGCCTCCAGGTCTGTCTGGGCTTCCTCCCTGTTTCTGCCACCCTCATCAGAGGTCATTAGCCACTTAGCTATAATTCCCCTGGAATGTGCTGTGTCTCCAGTTGAGCCTCCACGGCTGAGGGTGTGGGAGCAAAGGCATGGGGGGCTGGGGTTGGCCACGATGGCTACCCTACAGGGTTGTGAGCTGAGGGGGCCCAGGGTTCAGGCCCCAAGCTCAGACCGGCCCCAAGGACACAGGCTGGACTCCCAGTGTGAGCAAGGGGCCGGTGCAGAGTGAGGCTCCCAAAGGCACAGCCTGCCTTCCAGAGCCCAGGTACTGGCCCCACAGATACAAGGGAGAGCGGCCTTCTGTCATATGGAGAAGATGAAGATTCTTAAGTAGCCGACTCTGGGACCTACTTCAGTGGAACCTCGCTGCCGTGTTGCCCTCAACCCAAACTGTGGTGTTCGAAAAGCTCCCCGCAGCCTGGGGAGGGGTCTGGAGCCCCCTAAGTGGCCCTGGGCCCTTGGGGTGATGCCCAGCCTGAGCGGGGTCTCCAGGGAGTGGGAGAGCCTGGGAGATGGGGTCCTTTTCCCGGCCTGGCCTCTCTGGATTTGTAGCTGTGTTTTGGGGTGGCCTGAGTGTCTGGCTGGGGCCAGAGCCGGAGTGGCCGCACAGCTCTGGATGGCCTTGGGTTGACCCTTGACCCCGAACCCTACCCGGGAGCAGCAGGAAGTAGTGGGCTGACCTCACTGACCTCCTTTAGGGCTCACTTCCCAGAACCTCCATCTGACCCTGGGGCTTGCCAGGCAGGGCTCGGGGCTCTGCTGTACTAGGTAGGGGCTCCTGGGAGGGAGCACGCTTCCTCTGGGATCCCCTAGCCCTGCACTGCCACTGACTGGCCCCTCTTGGCCCCACGGTAGGCCTTGGGACCCTGGGGGAGGGGGTGTCTCAGTGTTGGGCCGTAGCCTGGCCATCCCGCGCCCTGGGTGCGCTGTCTGGTTTGAGTGCAGACAGGAACGCGGGTGTCTGGTTCAGGACAGCTGGGAAGTGCTCCTGGGGGCCGGGAGAAACCGCTATAGCTTAGCAGCCAGGCCCCACCCTAGGTCTGTGGCCCGAGCCTGGAGGGGCGTTGTGGGGGGGCGGTTCCAGGCTTTGAGCTAGAAGGCCGCCTGTTCCCTCACCCCATGATTCTCTGGGGGGCTGAGGGATGGGACAGGGTAGGGCTGAGGCTTGCAGAAGAGGCCCCCCGCCCTCACCTGGGCCCTGGGGTCCCTGCCAGAAGCGTGGACGTTAGCATACAGCCAGGCCCTGGCCCAGCTTTGGGTCTGACTTCGCCCCTACAGGTTGGGCCTGTGGCTGGTGAGCGGGGGCTGTTCCAAGGGTGGCTACCTCTCCCCAGCCGGGTTCCTCCGAGCACACCTGGGAGGTTCTCACTCCCAGGCCAGACGTCCTGACTCCTGTGACCTGGGCCGGGGACTGAGATGTGGCCTGGGGGTGCGGGGGTCTGGGGGGCAGTTTCTGTACTTCTCTCTCTGTCTGTCCCCAGGCCCCCTGTGCTGACCAGCTGTCCTGGCCGTGGCTGGGATGGTGTCTCTGCCTTGGAGCGGTGGTCTCTGTGTCTCCTCTAACCCTGCCTGGGGCAAGGACTTTCTTTGTTAAGCTGGAATTGCCAGGGCCCTTGAGCAAACACAGGACAGGTGTCCAGGACCTAGTGGCTGGCGCCCCTGGCCAGCCGGTCGCTGAGCTTGGGAAACGGCTGTGCTTGGGGTCCTTGGCGTCAGGGAGGCCAGCTGGCTGGACCGTGCTGATGGTCACAAAACCGCTGGACCCTGGGGTGGGGAACCTCGGGCCGGGCTCACTGTGATGGCCGGGGACTCTGGGGGATGGCCGGGGACTCTGGGGGATGGCGGCAAGGGACAGGGATTCCTTACCCCAAGGAGGGGCTCCGAGCACACTGCCCTGGGGCAGAAGCTCCCTGCGGGCAGCAGGGAGCCCTGTCTCACCTGAGGACTCTGTCCTGGACACAGAGCGCTGATCTAAGGCCAGGGAACCCTCTTGAGACGGGAGCTGGGGGCCAGGGTGGGGCGCTGCCTCCCTGGGGTCTTGCTTACTGACTGGGCTTGGCCAGTGCGCCCTATGGGCTCTGAGCGCTCCCTGGCCTGAGGGTCCTGCCCCAGGGTCAGCCAGCTGCTGGGGCTCTAGCCCCGGGCACCTGAGCTGACCCAAGAGCAGAGGCCTTCAGCATCCCCGGGTCTCCCAGAGCCCAGACCGTGCAGCTGGGCCCACGAGGACTGGGAACATGTCCAGGTGTCAAGAGCACAGCCCTGACCCATGTCTGTGCCTCCGGCTGCCATCGGCATGCCTGCCCGCTCGTGCATCTGACCGTGTGCACGGGCCGGCCTGGGGACAAAAGGCCTTTGTTAGGAGGGTTTGGGGTGCAGCCCCTGCTCCGGGGCAGTGACTCATGGGTTCCTCTGGTGTGATAACGTCAGTTTTGCAATAGCCGGCATGTCACACACACACCCAGGCAGCTTCGAGGGTAGGAGGGACCCCCAGCTGCACTTGCGGTCCCTCCAGGCTGCTCTGTCGGAACCTGGGTATGTGAGGGGGTGGCAGCGAGAACAGGAGCGAACAGGAAGGGTGTCAGAGGGCCAAGCAAAACTCCATTTCTGACGTAAAGCATCTCCAGAAGCAACCACTCAGCCTCCCCAGAGCCCCTTGCCTGCCTCCCGGCCCCTGCTGGCCCCCTGCTGTAGGCCTGAATCCCTCCCACCCAGCCGGGCCCCAGCAGCCTGGGGTCCCTCACAGCAGGATGCGCCTTCACCGTGGGGGTTGTCCGATCCTTCTCCCGTGGCGGGAGGGCCTGACACAGGTGCCTCGCTGTTGCAGGCTCGAGCCCGGCTCGGCCTGCTTGCCGTCACTCCCTTTGTAGGATCAAGTGGGTGCCTCTATCAGGTGCAGGGGCCCCTTGGGGGCTGGGCTGTCAAGATCCAAGAATGCCGCTGGAAGGAGGGGGCAGGGCTTGGGTTTCCTTCTCCTCGGGTCACCAGGCTGGGTCAGGCCCTGGGTCGGTGAGAGGCGGGATCTGAGTGAGGGTCTTCGCAGGCTTCCTGTCTGGCCGGCCACTGCCTGTGGTGTATCGTTTGAGGACAGAGCAGTCCAGGGTCCAGGCTCCAACCAGTGGGCAGAGCAGTACGCTGTCCAGGCCACCCATGGCCCTGGCTTCGCCCTGACCTGGAGCAACACCCAGCACCACAACCAGCTGAGCTGCTTGGTGGACCCTGCTGGCTATAGCAGAAGGGGCCTAGGGCCATGTGCAGGGGAAGTGCAGGGACCTGGGGCCAGGGTCAACAGGGGCACCTGTGCATGGACGCCACTCTGGGCACCACCACCTGCTGGCCCCAGATGTGCGTGGGAGGGCCCCTGACCATCCTGCTGAGTGGCCAGCCGAGCTGCTGCCCCTTGCCTCCCCTGCGGCTCCCACCTGCCCAGGCCTCCCCAGATTCCAGTTCTGGCTGCCCACCCAGCTGCCAGGGTCCCCTTCCTAGGGTTGGGGTGTGTGTTCTCAGGTGGTTTCCATCTCCAAGCCAAGTGGAGACTGCTCTGTAGAGACCCTGACCCTCATCACTTCCTGGGGTCCCCCCCGGCGCGCCCCTACTCCCGAGATGGCCCAGGTAAAGCCTTCAAGTCTCTGTTAAGGGGAGGGGCAGGAGCTACTCTCTCCCCATCTCCGCAGAGGCTGGGTCTCCTGAAAGCAACTTGGCTGACACCACCGTGCCCCCCGCAGGCTTGGCACTCTCTCCAGGACCCCACCAGTTGGACGGGGCTCGATGGACCCCTGGACACCTGCTGGTGCTCAGACCGAGGGCCACACCTCCGCCTGGTCTTTGGACTTGGGCACCTGAGGCTAGCATCCAGAATGGCCTTCCAAATCCCTGGGACCTCCCAGAACAGCCCCCCCCCCCCCCCCGGCCCTGGGGCCCTGCCCTAGCCTCATGGAGTTGCTTATCTGTCCTGTTTTCATTCATTTCCCGTGTCCTGTTCTGGGCCCCTCAGGGTCTAGGGGAAGGTCAGGAGCTGGGAGTGGCTGCCCTGCATTGATGGCCATCAGCCTCTGTGATCCCCACCAGCCCCAGGCCGTGGGCAGAGCACAGCACTGAGCAAAGACCTGAGGCTGTCAGTCCCCCCTCCCACTCTGCTACCACCCCTCAGGCCGCCCCATCCACTGCAGAACCTCCCGTGGGACCCCACAGTGCGGGAGGCTCAGGGTCCTCAGGGAGGAAGGGGTGGTGGCTCCAGAGATGCCCAGCAGAGGACATTGCCCGGGGCATGCGGGCCCCAGGACATGTGGGTGGTGGGTTCTGTTTGCTCTGGGAAATCTCTGAAGCAGTCAGTGCAGTGTGGCCGTGGAAGGTCGTGCTGGGGCTTCTGCTGGAGGCTGTGAGGGTCTCAGAGGGGGACTGGGGAGGGTTGGGGAGCCAAGAGCACCATCTACAGGGGAGATGGGGGTCAGGAAGGGCTGGGAAGGGGGCTGGGTCAGAGGAGACTGTTGGGGGTGAGTGGGAGTGGTTGTGTGCGGGGGAGGGGGGAGCTCTGGGGGTAACCCTGCTGGCAGTGAGCCCACCCTGGCCCTGAAGAAGGGGGTTGTCCGTAGAGGCCAGGTGACAGGTGAAGGAGTTAGCTCTCAAGGCTGTGGGGAGGGTCATCTGGGTGGGGGCTGGGGGGTGTAACCCCTGCGGGGGGGACCCAAGGGTGGAGGGACATAGGGTCTCAGGAATGAGGAGACCCCCAGGGCCTGGACTGCAGCCCCTTAAGAGCCCAGTGTTTGTTCTGAGGCCAGGTCCTGGTGTTAGGACAGACACAGGAGGCCTTCCGCCTGCTCCCTGGACTCCGGGCAGGAGGGAGGCCGCAGCTCAACCCCAAGCATACTTATTAGGAGGAAAAACAGCCCAAGCCTCTCTCCAAGCCCCTGGGACCAAGTGCAAGCACCAGGGAGCAAGTTAGGTGTAATGCGGTCTTCACCGGGCTACCTGCAGCCCAGGTGCCTTTGCACGCGGTTCTCCATGGTTCCTCCGGCGGTCCTGAGCAGGGCTGGATGCTTGGCCTGCTTTAGGCCTGTCTCTGGCCAGCAACCCTGAGCTCCCTTGGCCCCAGACGGCGAAAGGTCTCACAATGGGGACCAGGTGCCTGGGTCAGGTTGGGGGCTGAGGGGCACACTGGCCATCCCTGTCAGACCCTGCAGATTCTGGCCATGACCCAGCCAGCCCCTTCCTCCCACTGCAGGACCCTGTCCTCCCAGCCCAGATGCTGGACAGAGGGAGGCCTGCCCCTGGGAGGCAGGGTCTGTGCTGAGCTCTGGGAGGCCCACCCAGCCAGAGGCGAGGGGTCTGGGATGCACACGCAGCTGGGAGGGATGGGGGCCGGTGGGCATCAGGAGCTATGCTAGTCTAGGGCTCAGCTATGAGCCTCTAGCCCGGTTGGCACGTGGTCTCCTCCAGCAGGTGTGTGTCCAGGGGGAGCCCCCCCACACTGTAGGCCCCATCTCCTTCAGTCCCTACCATGTCCCTGATCCTTCTCAGCTCTTGCCAACTCTGTTACACCAGGTGAACCCAGGCTTTTGGGGGGTCTGAGGGGGCAGGGGAGGTCTTGGCTCAGATCTGGGGGACAGGGCAGATGGTGGGGTACTGCACCAACTCCCATTCGCCACAGGGCTCCTGGCTTGCCTCTGGGAGCCACACTACCCTCCCCAGCATGACTGTGTGGTCCCCTCTGGTGCCCGGCCATCCTAGGGCGCCCTGCCTCCTCCAGAGTCTCTCTCGGGTCCCACGTTTCTCTCTTTCGTATTAGAATTAGTGTTGTAATATATTTTTAAATTTTAAAAATTTTGAGATGATTGTAAATTCAGTGCAGTTGTGACAACTAGAGGTGCCGTGCCCCTCACCCAGTCTCCGCCAGTGGCAGAGTCTTGCAAAACTACTGGACAATATCACAAGCAGGACGTGGACATCCAAGCCAGATGTGGGGCAGTCCCAGAACCCGCTGCCATCCCCCTTTCCACCTCTCCTCCTCGACCCCTGGCAGCACTGATCTGCCCTCCATGTCTAGAACCATGACCGTCCAAGAATGTCACGGAAACCGAGGTACCCAGTATGCAACCTTTTGGGATGGACTTTCCTTGCTTGACTAATTCTTAGGAGATGCATCCTGTTACTGCCAGTATTTAAGTTTCTCCCATTTTCTAGCCCTGGGACTTTGTCCAAGGCACTCAGGCTCTATGCCCCTGTCTCTTCCTCCTTTCTCGGGAGCATGAAGGGGCTGTTGCCAGGGCTCTCCACATTGGCTTAGGGGAGGGAGGGGCAGGACCAGGGCCTCTCATGAGGAGAGGGGCACCCCTTGAGGTGGTGCTGGATGCCCCATGCCCATCTGCTCCTGACGCCCTGCAAGGGTGGGCCCTGACGGCCACTTAAAGAGAGATACTAGTTTGGCTGGGAGAAGAGTTAGTGGTCCTATATCCTAAACCCCCCCTAAAAACCAGTTTGGTGGTCTGACTCCCCAGCTCCCAAGAGCCTACTGTCTCCTGGGCCCTGGGCCGGTGCTGGGCTCATGGAGAGCCTGAGCTCAGCCCCTGGTCTATAGGGCATACGTGTCCAGATGGTGTGGAGCCCATAGTGCGTGCCTCAGTGGGTGGGAGGTACAGTCTGGGGAGGGGAACCCCGACCTGGAGAACCTGCCAGCTGGACTGGAGGAGGGCAGGCTCTATCCATAGGCCCTGGGGCCACAGATAAGGCGATGGCTGAGGGTCAGTCTAGGAAGGGGCCTCTGGCCCTTAGCTCCCAAGTGTGGTCTGAATGCGGACATCACAACCACAGTAATGATGCCCAGTCAGCCCAGCGTCTGGTTTGTTCTGTTTTGAAATTTAATGATTTACTTTGAACAATATGAACTTTCCATTTTTGTCAAACCTGGCTGCATATGGGCACTTTCATGTGATTCAACTGAGTGCTAACGCTCAGGGACCCTCCCCCGCTCCTCCAAAGAGACATGCCTCGATTTTTAGATTTTTTACTAGGAGGTCTTGGACATTGGTGCCATGCTTTCCATGGGGTCCACTCCAGAGAAACCCGGAAGCTACAGCAGGACTGCAGATGCTGGGCAGGGATGTGGAGGTCCAGCCTTTGGGTGGGATCCGGGCTCTGCCACTGATGCATGTGGCCCCAGCAAGCTGTCTGGTCTGTCCAAGCACTGTCTCCTTGTCTGAAAAACGGAGACGTGCACGTGCCAACTCCAGCGATCCCGACGTCCAGACAAGACATCCGGGTGAAAACGGCCAGCAGGAACCAGGCCCCACCGTTCTCAGCATCCCTTGGGAACCTGCCCCCAGTTGGCAGGGTCCCATTCTGCTCACCTCAGTGTCCCCAAACCTGGACCCTCTCATGAGTCCTTGTCTTGGAAACGCGTTCACAGGGGCAGTCAGGCCTGCCTCGAGGCGCCCGATAAGAAAGCCCACATTCACCTTATAATCAGAACTCTGTCACATCTTGGGACCTCTCTGGCCCAGCTTCTACCTTCTAAAGGCAGGAGAATTGCAATCACAAGACCATCCTCCCTTCCTTCTGGCCCGAGACTCCAAATTCTGGGCACTCTTCTACCTTTAAACACAAATAACCCAGGCCTGCTGTTAGGATGATTGTGTCCCCCAAAACTTAGATTGAAGCTTTAACCCCCAATGTGATGGTATTTGGTGCTGGTGTTAGATGAGGCCATGAGGGTGGGCCGTCTGGTGGGATTAGTGTCCTTGTAAAAAGAGACATCAGAGAGCTTGCTCTGGCTCTCTCTTGTGCCAAGGACGCAGCGAGAAGGTGGTCCCCTGCAGCAGGAAGAGGGTCCTCAGCAGCACGCGGCCCTGCGAGCACTCTGAGCTGACTGCCAGCCTCCAGAACTGTGAGGACACGTCTGCTGCTTAAGCCAGCTTGTCTGCGGGGTTGTTACGGCAGCCCAAGAGCACCAGGACACCCGCTCCTAAATTCCACGGTCTGAGAACACAAAGGAAAGGCAATACAAAGGCAAGTCAGAGATTTGCTCCCCGCATCTGCATCTGCCCCAAAGTGGGCCACAGACATCAGCAGCATCGCCAGGCGACCCAACCCAGATTCCAGAATAAGAACGTGCAGCATCACACACCGCTGGGCTCACAGAAGGGCTCACGGCTGTCCTGGAGCCTCTTTATTTCACTTTTGTGATGACCACAGCACTCACTTTTCACATTTAATGGGGAGAAAAGAACCCTGATCTTCTGAGGATGTGTTAGGTATGAGAGGTGATCAGCCAGGAGGGTGCGCGTGAATGCTTTTCTGTCTCCAAAAGGTCACGCCAGCCAGCAGAGCCTGTTTTCTTAAGACAGAATGTGGGAAACCTCACCGATGCTTCCAAGGGCTCAGATTCCTGGAACTTGGGCCCAGAGTCTAACATAACAGATGTGTGTGTGAGAAACACTTGCCCCTGCATGGCCGCGAGGAAGCCTTAAAAGGAAAGTCTTTTCAGAAAGAGACAATGGGACTGACTTTTGTGTAAACTGTAAAGAGAAATGGACAGTTTTAGAATTCTTCCACATTTAAACACACAGGCAGTAACAAGTCTACAACCCGAGCTGTAAAAACAGATAAATCCACAAAGCCCAAGTTCTGATAGAAAAGTCTTCCCTTAAATAATTTAAAAAATACGGAGACCCACACACTCCTAACTTAAATTCTTATCTACACAAATTTACGATATTTATAAGTCACAGACTAGTGCTGAATTACATTTATCACGGATTCACTCCAAAGCAACACAGACCAAAATACCATTGAAGCTAAATAACAAAACACACAGTTAAATCTTAGACTGCCACATGACAAATGACACCAACATGGAACATAAAAGGTAACCTAACTCAATAAATCTAGGGCGATTTTGATAAAAGCCACTGGGTGCAACACAAAGCTGCAACATGCAAGAGCCCGAGGGTCCCCTCCCTATAGCCACAGCTCTTGGTGTGGCGATTTCCTAGGTGGACGGTCAACACAGGATGCGGGACGAGACATAGTCCCCAACCCCGAACAAGTCCAGATTCGTGTTTTGGGGCCAGGGTCCGCAAGTGCCGGTCGGCTCCAGCCTCTGGCTGCTCTCCTCCACCTGGAGAGAAGACAGCAGGTGCGCAGGCTGGGCTGGGGCTGCAAGCCCCTGCTGTCTGCCGTCACGCTCAAAGCTGGGCATCTTCCCAGTCCAGGCCCACGCTGGCTGAGATCCTGGGACAGGACACTGCCACCTGGACATTATGTGTCACCCGGGCAAGACCCACGGGTCTCCCAGACGCGGAACAAGACGCGGTCTGGAGTGAGGCCCCATGGCGGCCACGGGGGTGCACAGGCCTGGGTGCCCACCAGAGCTGGGACCTAGGGGCCGCTTGGCATCTGCCTGAAAACCCCACTGGTCGCCAAATACACCCGGCCCCCTCGAGGGCTGGACTCATTCTGGGTAACTAGCCGAACCGGCCAGCTTTGCCCGTGTAAGGCCAGTGGGAGGCCCCTCAGCAGCGGCCCCACAGGACCCCGAATGACTCTCGCTGCGGTGGCCACCTCCTGAGGCATCTGTCCTGGCCTCCCGCCGGCGCCATGTGACGTGTGGTGGGTCAGCTGTGGCTGCAGCTCAGGGGATGCCCTCCTTCCTCTGGCAGCACTGCGAGGGAGGCGCCGACCAGTCGTAGACGTAGGAGAGGCGCAGCTGAACCTCCTGCTTGCACAGGCGGCCCTCGCGCGTCAGCGTCTGGTGCTTCTCCAGCATGTCCTCCAGGCTCTGCTTGTGCGTCACCAGATACTGGTTGCTGCAGCCGCGGGACTTGTACTCGGTGTCGAAGCGCGGGTCGTGCTCGCGCTGGACGTCCACCGGCGCCAGCCAGGCGCCCAGGGACACGTCCTCGCTGTGCCACGCGCGCAGGTACTCCCGGCTGAGGCGCAGGTAGTGCACCAGGTCGGCCGAGAGCACGTAGCCGCCGCCCAGTGCGTAGGGGAGGTAGTAGTCACAGAGCTGCCAGGCGGCCTCGCGCCAGCGGCCCCCAGGCTTGACGCGGCCGCGGCCCGAAAAGAAGCCCCAGTAGAGGCGGCGGCGACGCGCGGGGTCGCGCGCGCGCAGCTCGGCCAGCAGCGCGTCCAGCCGCGCGAACGAGTCGTCGTCCGCCTTTAGCACGAACTCGAAGGCCACGTGCTCGTCCAGCCAGGCCAACATGGCCAGCACCTTGGCCGTGAGGTTCTCGTACGCGTCACGCAGCGCGGGCAGTAGGAGCAGGTCGCCGTGGCGCGCCTGCTCGCGCTCCAGGGCGCGCCGCTCCTCGGCGCCCAGGCCGCCCGTGCCCACCGCGAAGCGCGCCCACACGTCGCCCGGGCTGCCGCGCCGCGCCGCCGCCAGCCACGTGCCGCGGACCACGCTGCGCCGTTCGGCCGCCCGCGGCGCGCTGGCCACCAACACGGCCAGGAAGGCGGCGGCGCGCGCGGACTCGGCAGGTGGGGGGCTGCGGCCGGGAAGCGGGTGGGGGCCGTCGGCGGCGCAGCGGGCCAGGTAGAGAAGCCCAGCGCCGCAGAGCGCCAGGCCGCCCAGGCCCAGCGCCGTCCGGTGCCGCCACGCGCGCCGCAGCAGCTTCATGGCGCGCGCGCGTGCGGGGAGCGCCTCCGAGGCCCCGAAGCCGGCGCGCAGGCCGCGTCCCCCGGCGGCGGAGGCTGAGGGCCCGGCGCGGCCCGTCACGTGCCCGCACGGCACGTGGGCACGCGCGCTCTTCTCATTGGTTGCCGGGGAGGGGCCGAGCGTCCCCTTCCGCCCAGAGAAAACATGGCGGCGCCAGCGTCGTCGCGGTGGCGTCGCGCCCGCGCTCACCGTTCCAGCTCCGCCTCTTCCCGGAAGAAAGATGGCGGCGGCCTAGGCGAGTCCCGTCGGAGGCGTCACGGGCGCTCGGGCCCCGCTCGGCGGATCCGGGGCGAGGGGAGGGAGGCCGGTGAGTGAGGGCCCCGGGGCGGGGGACGCCGGGAGGCCGACGCTCTCTCGGGCCGCTGGACCCTTGGCTCATGTCCTCTCTGCCCTCACCGACGGCTGCCGCCGGGAAACTGAGGCTGACGGACTGTGGTCGGCAGGGGAGTCGGGTGGACCCCGGTATTTACCGGCGAGGTGACCGCACTCCCCTCGTCGGTAAAGGTGCCCTAATTGGTCGGACTTGGTGAAGATTTGAAATCGTGTGCGTAAAGCCTCTGGTTTCCGGTTCAGCCGGTGGCAGTTGTTACCAGCGCTCTGAACGCGACCCCGAGAGCGGTGACAGAGCTTTTAGACGAGGCGTTGGCTTTTCTGACGGCGAGAGGTCAGGCTCGCCGGCACGGATACCCCGGCATGGCCGAGAAACGCCGCCTGCACTTCCGCTGGGCCCCTGGGGTGGGGTTGGCACCCTGAATCGACGAGGTAGAGGACGGGGATTCTCTGGTCGGCCAGCCAGGCCCCTGCCCTTCGGAATCCCAGGGGTGGCGGGGGCGGTGGGGGGCAGGCGGAGGACGAGGAAGGAGCGGTGCACGGCGTACTGGGCCGCGCTGCTGCTTTTGTGCTCAGAGAAAGAACTGGCGTCTCACTTGACCTCCTGACATCTGTGCGGTGTCTTGGGGTTACTTTTGTGCAGAATGACGTGTCCTCCCCGTGAAGATAAGTAAGGAATTGACTGTTTTTTCAGGGAGCAAAGTACAGTCTGTTTGCACGCGATACGTGTTTTTACGGCCACAGTCAGTGAGGGCGGTATTAATGTCAGGGGAGGTCATCTTGGTTTGCGCAACACTTTCCTAGCCGGGAGAGCTGGGACGCAGGGTAGAATGACACGCCCGCAGGAAAGGAAACCTTGGTGACCGCAGGCTTGTACGAGTCTTGCCTTAGCGGCAGGCTGCGTTTCCTCCTGGGCCCACCTTAGTGGCAGCCCCACTGGCATGTCCTTGGCACCTGCGCACGGCCTCTCCACTCAGTTTAATAGCCCCCGAGCTGCTTGCTGGGGCTGCAGGTGCCTCGCCGGACGCCACTTACTGGTTTCCTCCTGGCCTGTTTATATCGAGTTGTGTTGGTCTTGAGACACGTCCCTGGTGTTGTTCCCATGGGCCCTGTGTTTTTTAGTGTGCACTTTTGCAGAGCCCTGTCATTTTCAGGAACACGCATATTGCGGTGTGGCAGAGACCCCTGTACGTGTTCACTCAGTTGTGTGGACGGTGTGACCGCTGCTGGGACAGTGAAGAGAAGGGTGTGGCGTTCCAGTAGATGTGATTCAGGGCAGTCCCAGCACAGAGAATGCCACGGCTCGGGTGCTTGTGGGGAGATTGCAGGCTCCACAGACCTGGAAAGAGGGATTACTCCCTCAGAGGAAGGAGACGGATGAGTTCAGGGAGCAGGGTCTTGTTGAAGGGCCCAGAGAGCGCACAGGTTCCGAAGACTAATGCATAAAGGTGTCACCCGGCCGGTGAGTAACGCCATTCGGGAGCAGGTAGGTTCAAAAGGAAGCGTCAGAGAAGCAGTGGCATCTGCTGGTGCCGCCAGACCAGTCAGCGGGAGCCCCTTGTCCCGCACTGTGTGCCCTCAGGCTCCAGTGGTTGTGCTGCTCTGCCCCATGCAAGGCCCTGTGCTTCCTGCCATGCCCCAGCTTGGCTGCAGGTGGCACTCTGGCCTTCGGCGAGCGTGTCCAGGGCCACCACCCCTGGACCCTGGATACCGGTGGGCTTCCCTCTGCTGCTCCTCCCTGTAACAACTGCCAGAGGAGGGGAGGGCCTCAGCTGCACCTGAGAGGACCACCAGGTGTGTGCCAGGTGGGCAGACTATGAGAGGAACAGGTTAAGTAAAGGGCAGGAAGGAGCTGGAGTTCCTTTTGGGGAGTGTGGAGCATGAAGGTCCATGAGAAGCTGAGCAGGGAGCAGAGCAGGCAGCTGGGCCCTGTTCTGGCACCAGCCAGAAGGGAATTCCAGGCCATTCCAGAAGGGAATCTGGAGGAACCTGGAAAGTGTGAGGGAAAGCAGGTGGGCCTGGGTGGAAGGAGCCGGATGTGGGAAAAGGCGGGGATGGCTGAGTGCTGGGCATGAGTGCTTGTGGGCCTGGCATGCTTACTGTGGTGTGTCCTCATTGCTGGGCCCAGACTTCCTGGTACTCCTGTGTGAACATGAGCAAGGGTGTGTGTGCGTGCACACATAGGTGTGTATATCCGCGCACATGTGTGTGTTTGTGTGTCCCATGTGCGTACGAGTGTGGTATATGTGCCTGTGTGCATGTGTGTACTTGCAGAGTGTGTGCGCGCACCTGCAGCGGTCATTGAGGTGGGAAGGTAGGAAGGGGCTGGTGCCCTGCTGGATGGGTTTGGGCATTTGCTGGCACCAGGCCCAATCCTCACAAAGCCTTGGGGTGGGGGAGGGAGCTTCCTGTTTCGGGGGGAGACTGAAGCTGGGGAGGCCAGGTGACTTAGCCAAGGTCACAGAGCTCACAAATGCTGAGTTGGGATTTGGAGAGTGAGTTACCATGATTCTGGGGTCTGTCTCGGTGCCAGGAGGGACGGAGAGAGACAGTTCTGGGAATGCCCACTGTGGGCATTGAAAAGGGGTAGGTTTAGTGGTGTTGGGCAGCCTTTGAGGTGGGTATCTTTGGAAAAAGAAAAAGTAGTATGTTTAGTATGTATCCTGTAAACCAAGAACTTCCACTTCATGTTGTAAACGAAACGCCTCTTAGTGAAGTATTTGCTGACCCTCCGTTGAACGATGGCTGTGTCCTCTTTATAGACCTTTAACTGCAAGCTGGGATCTGGCAGCCGCGGGCTCTTGCCCTTCTGCAGTGCCTGGGGTGGTGGGAAGGCTGTGACCCCACGCCTCACTTCCTCACCTGGCCCGCCCCTCTCTCCCCAGCTGCTGGCCGCACTTGCAGACCATCCCACAGTCCGGACCCAGGTGGCCATGGCGTCCAGGCAGGCTCCCCTCTGTGGCCTGGTTCCTCACTGCCTCTGGCTCTTGGGGGTCATCCTTCTGATGGATGTGTCTGCCCGGCCTGCCAACCACTCATCTGCTCGGGAGAGAGCCGGCAACAAGGATGAGCGTGAGATCCTGCCCCCGGACCACCTGAATGGAGTGAAGCTGGAGATGGATGGGCACCTCAACAAGGACTTCCACCAGGAGGTCTTCCTGGGGAAGGACATGGACGGGTTTGAGGAGGATGCAGAGCCACGGAGAAGCAGGAGGAAGCTGATGGTCATCTTCTCCAAGTGGGTGCCCAGGCCTGGGCGCTGCCAGAATCTAACTAGTTTGCTCACCGGGCATGTACTGTGGCCAGAATTCACACGGGCCCTGTGCTCAGGCGGGGCAGTGTCCACAGGTCTCAGGGGGCCCATGCCTTAGGAGGTTCTCTGCCCAGCATGGGCCTGGTGGGGTCTAGGCTCCCAGGGTATTGGTGACATGGTGGCCCAGCCATGTGCCAGGACCCAGGATTCATGGCTCTCAGTTCCAGGGAGTAGACTGAGAAGAGCTCGTTCATGGGGCTGACTTTCCTGTGGAGCCACTCTGAGTGCACACAGGTGTCACACAGGCTTGGACTCATGCACAGGTCACGGGTGCTGGCTGTGAGCACACACGCAGGTCACATGGCCCGGTGGCTTTGGAGCCTCCGAGGGAGGTGAGGGGCTTCATGGCCAGGGCATGAGCTCAGGAGGAGGCCTTTGGCAGTTGGACCTGGGCTCTGTTCCCTGAGCCCGCCAGCCTCATCCTCATCTGTGAAAGGGGTTATTGAGAGCCCTGCTTCCTGGGCGTGGTGAGAACAAAGTGTGCTGTGTGCTGTCTACTCATAGGATCAGGGATGAGGGTGGAGAACAGATGGAGGGCAACGGGGCTGCCCTGGGTGGGTGTTGGCGAGACAGAGGGATCCCAGAGGCCTGCCTTTTTGAGGTGCTGTGTGCACTGGGTGCTGGGGGGGGCCAGGTGGAGGAGCAGATGGGCTACCAGGTGGGGGCAGGAGGTGGGGGCAGGAAGATCTGCAGATGGTGGGCTGGCCGAGACCCGGTGAGGAGACAGGTGGGCGCTAGCACAAGGTTGTGCGCACTGGCACTGGACTTGATAATCTGCTCATGATTGGGCCCGCTAATGTAGAGGGCACTGGGCTCTCCCCGGGACTCTGTTGGGAGTATCCATCCCCACGCTGAGAGCCACCTTCCTGGCAGCCTGCAGAGGGTGGTTTGCACCACTCACTGGGCCAGGGGCGAGCTGTGTGCCCACAGGCAAGAGGATTCTACCCAGACTACCCTGGGCATCCTCAGGAGAGAGGGTGGCTTCACCCGGGGCCCCAAGGTACCTGTAGAACTTTGAACCTGTGAATATCTTATCTGTTAGAAGATCTTCCCATCAAACGAATTCAAACTCAGCTTTTGAGCCAACAGCAAGTTCTTCCCGGGGCTGCTTCTGTGCCTTCCTTGGCACTTTTGTGTGTTGCAGGGTCTGGGGGGGTTCAGTGGACGGGCCCAGAACTCTGGGAGGAAGGGGTCACCAGAGGGGCCGGCACTGTTAAAGGGGAGGGACCATGCAAGGGCCCCTTGGACAGGTGATAGGAATGGGGCAGAATCCTGAGAGGGTGGGCTGTGGCCCGGAGGCTCAGTGCCAGGAGCAGGTGCATGCCGCTGGAGCAGGGGGAGCACTGGGGAGGCGGGACAGCTTCCTGCTGTGCTTACATTTTCATTGTTGAAGGTTAGCTCTTCACCCGGTTGGAACGTAGCTGGGTGTCATGACAGAGCATGGAGCCAGAAATTCAGCAGTGAGACTGGGACCATGGGGGCTGGGGGTGTGGCTCAGAGCCCCTTCTAGGTCGAGCCCCCTGGATCTCCCGCCTGGCAGGGCTCTGAGGGTCGGGTGTGCAGATGTCTGTGCGTGGGCAGGGGGAGGGTTGAATTCCGGACCACACCTGGGCCCCTGCCGGCCTGCGTGTGGTGTGGAGAGGGGCGGGCTTGCTCAGCCGGGCTGTGGTGCTAGGAGCACGTCGGCTGGGGTGCAGACATTGGGGCCAGCAGGAGCGCTGTGTCTGTCCACGGGAGGTGCTTTTGTTATGCCTCCTCTATTTTGCGGGGTCACAGGTGGGGAGCAGCTAACCCCGCTCGCTGCCCCTCGCCGCAGCGGTTTCCACGCCGACTTCTGCCTACAGCAGCTCCTGCTTTAAGACGTCCCAGCATGGCTGCCGCCGCACTGGCTCCCTGCCCGAGTCACACGTGGTCTCAGGACCTGGTTTTGATTAAAGTAATGTTGCAACAACATTTTTTTTTTTTAAGATTTATTCATTTATTAGAGAGAGAAAAAGAGCGTGCACACACCCGTGCCTGCCTGTGCATGCAGGGGGAGAGAATCTGCCGGCTGAGTGCAGAGCCCGACGTGGGACTCAATCCCACAACCCCGAAATCATGACCTGAGCTGAAATTGAGTTGGGTGCTTAACTGACTGAGCCACCCAGGTGCCCCACCACATTTGTTAAATAAGCTTTTTATTTTGGAGTAGTATTAGAGTTACAGAAAAGTGGCAGAGATGGCCGGTTTTCCCTCATACCGACATTTAGGTAACCACGGTGCATTTGTGGAAACTGAGAAACAGCAGTGCTATGTTCCTGCTGTCTACACTGCAGATGTGAGATTTCACTCGGTTTGCCAACATCCCTGTCCAGGTCCCACACCGCGTTGAGTGTCACAGCTCCTTTGTTCCCTGTGGGGTGGGCTGGTGTCTCAGACTCTCTTCCTTTTTCATGACCCTGACTGTTTTGAGGAGGACTGCAGAGGTGTTGTGTCGCATGTCCCTCATTTTGGGTTTGTCTGCTGTGTTTTCTGGTGCTTAGAGTGGTGTCGTGGGTTTGGGAGAGAACACCCCAGCGGTGGTGAGGTGGCCCTCTCATCACATGCTGTCGGGGGCGCTGGCATCTGTAGGACAGCACGGGGCACGTTGGCCTGGCCACGTTGGCCTGGCCACCTGGTCCAGGTGGTGCGTGCCAGGTGTCTCCTCGCTCCCTCCTGTCTTCTCTAGTGGCCGCTCAGTGAGGCAGTCGCCCTGCAGGGGGTGGGAATGAGCCGGGCCTCCCGCGGTGTGGGGGTGGCAGGGGAGATCCACTGTATCATTTGGAATTCTGTAAGGAGGCTTTCTCTGTCCCCCATGTGTGGATTTATCGGTCGTTTCCTTCCGTCAGCTGGGGCTCCTGGATGTTTGTCGTGTACTTTGGGTCCGGTCCAGCCCTGCGTGGTTTTGCTGCGCACATTGTTGGGAGCTCTTTCATTTGTTTGTTTTGGGGGCACTTCCTTTCTTGTTGGCGCTTCCAGATGCTCCAGGTTCATCTTGTGTGCCTGCCTCCGCCCTGAAATCAGCCATTTCTCCAAGGAGCCCTGGTTTCTTTCATTGGAGGATGGTGTTTAGAAGCTGGGATCTGGGCACTGGTGTCCGGGCCTGAGGTCCTCCCGGTGGGCGGGGCTAGATGACGTGTGGGTGTGCAGGAACATGTGTGTACATAGGTATGTTAAGTCAGGCGCACACGTACTAGTCTGCATGTGTGTGTGAGCCATTGCATCCACAGAGCACTGCTAACTCACATGTGCGCACGAATGTGCTTGATCCATGCATATGCATGTACACACTTGGCATCTACATTTGCTTCTCCATCTACCCGTCTGTACCCACGTACGAAACACGACTCTGTTTTGGCTTCACAGCTCTGGTCCTGTCCCAAACGTCTGGGTGTGTGGATTTGGGGTGATGAGGCTGCCTGTACATCCTCCCCCAGTGGCCCCCAGAGTGTGGGGGAAGTGGTGCTGAGCTGCTCTGCAGAGCAAACTGTCAGCCTTCCCAGCCACCCCCAGCATCACTGTTGGGTAGAGTGTGTCCCTGTTCACGGCGGTGGAGCCCCTCTGGCCATGCTTTGGTCTGTCAGTCCGTCTGTCCTGCCCGGGTTCTAGAGGCCTCGTCTGACGTCGCTTATCTGCCCTCAGGGTGGACGTGAACACTGACCGGAGGATCAGTGCCAAGGAGATGCAGCACTGGATCATGGAGAAGACAGCAGAGCATTTCCGGGAGGCCATCGAGGAGAGCAAGGTGCACTTCCGTGCAGTGGACCCTGACGGCGACGGTATGGCCGACATCAACCTCACCCCATGGGCCTGAGGCTGCCAGGAGGAGGGTGGTGTGCACAGAGGGCAGAGGACGTGAGGACCTGGGCTTCGGGGCTTTGCTACGGGCCGGGCTTCGGGGCCGGGCTTGGGGGCCGGGCTGGGGGCCGGGCTGGGGGCCGGGCTGGGGGCTGGCTGCAGCTACTCTGGTGCTTCTGCTTCTGCCCTTGCCTGTAGGGCGGGGTTATTGACAGATGTCTGAAAACATGACGTCTTTCTTCCTAAAACCATCCATTGTGAAACAGCCTAGCAGGTCGGTCTTCTCTTCCAGGCCGTGTGTCGTGGGACGAATATAAGGTGAAGTTTTTGGTGAGCAAAGGCCACAATGAGCAAGAAGTTGTGGAGAAGATAAGGAATGGCGAGGAGCTGAAAGTCGACGAGGAGAGTGAGCGCCTGGGCCCTGTGGTGCGCCGCGAGGGGGCCTGTAGCCAGGGCAGGCCATGGGGCAGCAGGTGGCCTCCTGTGGGCTCGAGCTGGGGGGGGCAGGCCGGTCTGGGGGACAGGACAGGGTCCTGGGGAGGGGAGTTTGGTGGGGCAGGTGGTGTGGAGGTGGGGCGGGGCCGGCCACCAGCAGGGCAGAGCTCCGCCCTCCCCTTAGCCTTTAAAGCTCATGGGCGAGGGAAACTCCGGGTGCGGGTGCACTGGGGTGCTGGCTAGCTTCTCAAGTGCGGCTGGAGAATACTCACCCCCTTCACTGATCCCACCTGGGGGCCCCTGCCAAGCCAGGCATCAGGTTTGGTGTGCCGCCTCATGTCCTGGCCTTCTTCCACGTGGTGGGTCACTATCCCCACCCTTGTCCCATCGTGTCTTCTCCTGGTGGGTGTGGGTGTGCGGGAGTTTCTCTGCGGCATCTTTGTGCCCGGGGCACAGCCCCCGTTGGCCATGTGTCTGTGTGGTGAGTGGGCTGGCACCCTGTCCTCTGCTCCGTGATGGCTGCTGCAGGGCGGGCTGTGGACGCTCCTGTCCTCTGTCGGGTGCAGTCATACCTTCTTTCTTTCTGTTTGTATTTTCCTGCTCGTCCTTAATCCTGATCTCCCAGCTCCCTTGCTGGCATGCAGGGAAGTGATTGGCCTTTCTGTGCTAACTTTCTGGCCTGCGGTCTTGGTATGATTCAGACTTTCTACGCAGGTGATCGTGGTATCTGTGAACACGGACGGTTTGTTTTCTCCTTCCCAATCTGTGTGCGTCTGATTTTCTTTCCTTATCTTACTGCATTGGCTGGGACTTCCAGTACGGTGTTGGAAAGCGGCGGGGGGCGGGGGGCACCTTTTTCCTGTTCTGATCTTAGAGGAGAAGCATCTGGTTTCTCACCATTAACCTGATATGAGCTGTAGGTTTTTTGTAGATGTTCTTTGTCTAGTGGAGGAAATTTTCCTCTATTCCTAGTTTGCTCAGAGTTTGGATCATGAACGGCTGTTGGATTTTATGTCATGCTTTTTCTGTGTCTGTTGATATGATCATGTGATTTTTCTTTGGCCTGATGTGATGCTCACGTTAACTGATTTTCAGATGTTGAACCAGCCTGCTCACCTGGGATGAGTCCCACTTGGTCGTGGTCTGGGATTTTTCTTACATGTTTTGGATTTAATTTGCTGATCTTTTGTGGGGCACATTTGCATGAGACACACTGGTCTGTAGTTCCATTTTCTTGCAGCATCTTGTAGTGTCTGAGTCCCCAGCCTTCCAGCTGTCCCTGTGGGGGCCGCCCGTCACGGGCAGCTCGTCCATGTCCCCTACCTTTGTTTCTCCGGCTCAGTCTGTCTGTGGCGCACGTGTGACTTTGCAGACCCTTTCCTGAGCAGCACAGAGGCTTCTGGATGCCCTCGGGTGCCGGCCGGCCTTCCCCAGTTCCCTGGGCACCATCCAGGATTTCACTTCGTCCTTTTTTTTTTTTTTTTATTTTTTTATTTTTTAAAGATTTTATTTATTTATTTGAGAGAGAGAGAATGAGAGATAGAGAGCACATGAGAGGGAAGAGGGTCAGAGGGAGAAGCAGACTCCCTGCCGAGCAGGGAGCCCGATGCGGGACTCGATTCTGGGACTCCAGGATCATGACCTGAGCCGAAGGCAGTCGCTTAACCAACTGAGCCACCCAGGCGCCCCCGTCCTTTTTTTTTTTTTTTAAAGATTTTATTTATTTATTTGACAGAGCGAGCGAGCACTAGTAGGCAAAGCAGCAGGCAGAGGGAGAAGGAGAAGCAGACTCTCCGCGGGGCAGGGAGCCCGATGCGGGGCTCGATCCCAGGAACCCGGGATCATGACCTGAGCTGAAGGCAGAGACTTAACGACTGAGCCACCCAGGCGCCCCTCACTTCTGTCCTTTTTAAATCCTGTAACTTGGACGTGATTTTTTTTTTTTCTGAAATGCTTGTTTGCCTTTTTCCTATGTTTTTGTTTTGTGTTTCCGTGGTTTGTCCTATAGTTCCAGCTGTTCCCTGAAGGTGGTATTTAGAGGCATCTGGGGGTCCTGGGGGTCCTCTGTCCTCCTGCCAGCATTGGTGATTTGGCACCAGCGTCTGGGGTGGCTTCCGGGGCGTGGGCTGCCAGCCCTCTGTCCCTGCCTGCTCTCGGGAGCTAGTCTGTCTTCAGCACCTTTCCTTCGGGTGTGCCTGGGGTCAGGACCTGTCCTTCGGGAACATGAACTCTGTCACCTCAGCCTGCCTGTGGACTCTTTCATCTCAGCACGAGTTCAAGGCTCCTCATTCCCTTCTTCAGTTTGGGTGGGGTGAGCAGGTCTGGGGCATCAGAAGTGAAGAGCAGTGTTGAGGGTGTGGGAGGCCAGGGGAGTGCAGGCGGGGGCTGAGAGGTAGGAGTCCCCACGTGGCAGTCTGCCTCCTCGGGGCTTGTGGGGCTGCCAGCCCCAGGCACCACAGACGGGGGCTTGCAGGGGTCGGTGGCAGGCCTCCCTCCAGCTTCTGGTGCCACCAGCGTCCCTGCTTGTGTGTCTCTGTCTGTGCGCAGACATCTGCTGTTGGCTTCAGTGCCCACCTTAAATCTCCAGTGACCTCATGTCGAGGTCCTTGAGTAGTTACAGCCCCACAGACTCTATTCCATCAGGTGCTGTTGACAGGCCGCAGGTGGACGTAGGGAGGCCGCGCCTGTCCCTGTACGGGGCAGGAGGGAGCAACCTCTCACTCCCACCTTCCTCTAAGTGTGTTTGCCATTAAAAGTAGGTCACCACGGGATCTTCTGTTCATCAGAAGGCACTGAGACTCAAGGTGACGGGCACTGTGTGGGATGCAGCCGTGTCCCCGTTGCGCTGTACCGAGGCCTGGGCATCCCTGTTCCCAGTGACTGCAGTGAGGGTGCGGACAGATCTCTGTGCCTCAGCTCTTCCTGCTCGCCCGGCTTCGGCCGCTCCACTGAAGACCTGAATGGTCACTGAGCCTGTGAGGTTGTGGGGGCAAGCTCTGGGCCATGCTCCCCATGCCGGGCCTTCCCACGGAGGGAGAATGGGGGCTGTGGCGAGAGTCTGTGGGGGATGCTTGAGTCATATCTGGAAGCTGGGTTTTCCTCCAGAGCCCTGCCCTCTGCATACGGTGCACGTGAAAGATGGAAAGGAACAAGGTTGTGCTTTGTTCCTGTAGGTGCATGGTGAGGGTGAGTCCGCCTACACCCTGCTTTCCATTTCTCCCAAGGAGCAAAGAGCAGCAGTGAGCTGAGGGTGGGGGCTGTATGAGGGCAGGGGGCGGGTCCTGTGGGAGGGGGCTGGGTAAAATCTGTGTCTTGGGGGGGTCTGGGTTTGTATCTGGAGGGGGGTCGGCCCCTGTATTTGGGTGGGGTCTGTGTTCACGGGTATCTGCATCTTGTGAGATCTGTGTCTGCGTCTGAGAGCAGTCTGCCTGTGTCTTGGGAGGGTCTGTGTCTGTCTGGGGGGCTCTGCACCATCTGCCTCCCTGAGGGCTGAGCTCTCCTTCGAGCGGCAGGGTCCTTGGACTCACTCACCACAGTGTCCTGAGCCAGCCTTCCCACCCAGGCAGCACATCTCAGAACTTTTCAGATGTGAGCAGGTGTCCTGGGTCCTCATGGGTATGCCTCTCTCAGCACAGGAAGTCCTGGAGAACCTCAAGGACCGCTGGTATCAGGCGGACAACCCCCCCTCAGACCTGCTTCTGACTGAGGACGAGTTCCTGTCATTCCTGCACCCTGAGCACAGCCGTGGCATGCTCAAGTTCATGGTCAAGGAGATTGTCCGGGACCTGGGTGAGGCCTGGCCTGTGACCCAGCCTCTAGGGGGTGGTGCCTCCCTGCTGGCGGATGGGCTGGAGGCAGGGCCCACTGTGCACCTGCAGCATCCTCCTCCCAGCAGGGGTCGGCCCGGGGGTTTTGGAGGCTGTGTGGCTGCACAGTGGTGAGGGAGGGTCAGGCCTTGTCCTGGGCCATCTGGCCTCTGTCAGGCTCTCGAGCAGGTCAGGTGAGATGCACCTGTTTTGCTTTAGGCTAAAACTGAACACACACGCCAAAATTTGGCAGCAAACCTGTTTGGTTTACTTTCTTCTGGGTGGGCCTGGGTGGTCCCATGTCTACTTGAGGTCTGAGCGTCCACTCCCCTGTCTGGCAGACCAGGACGGTGACAAGCGGCTCTCGCTGCCCGAGTTCATCTCTCTGCCTGTGGGCACGGTAGAGAACCAGCAGGGCCAGGATATCGATGACAGTTGGGTCAGAGACCGAAAAAAAGAGTTTGAGGAACTGATTGACGCCAACCATGATGGGATTGTGACCATGGCGGAGCTGGAGGTGAGTGCAAGTGCCCAGTGGGCATCTGAGGTCGGGCCCAGGTCCTCAGGCTTCCCAGGGTGCCTGAGGCAAGGGGCTGTGGTGGAAAGGAAGGCAGCATTGGTCCGGCTGTGGCTGGTGGTGTGGCACTTCATGGCACCTGGAGGTGGGCTCCCTGTGTGCGGGGGAGGGGGATTCACCTGACAGCATGGTCACCTGGGGCGCTCAGACAAGATTTGAGCAGAAAAGCAGGCAGCGCAGTGAGGCGCCTGTGCCTGCCCCCGGTCGGGGTGCCTGGGACGTCTCGGCCTCTCCTGACTCCAAGCAGCCACTCCCCAGCAGGCAGTTGGCTTGGGCGCTGGGGGCTGCAGGCCATGTTGGAATCCACCATCTTCCCCTGAAGTGTTTTTGCTGGTGGTGTGTAGGTGCTGTGTGGGCCTGTTTTTCCCCATTGCTGGATGACTCATTGTCTTTACACCAGAATTCTCTGATCCCTGTTGATAGCTGGTGGGCACATCTGGTTCAAGGATTGAACAGCGGCTTGTCGGCTTGTCGAGTCTGTATCCGGGTGTCACGTGACCCACGGGCAGGCCCCCCCCCCGCGGCCACTCAAGGCTGTTTGCCCTCTGGCCAGCCCCTTCCTTCCATCAGGGGTGCCCTGAGGAGGACAGGAGGCGACCAGTCTCAGGCACCCATGCAGGCAAAGGCTGTCTGGCCCTGAGCCGCTTTTAGCCTGGTGTCTATCTTCCAGAACATTCCAGAACATGCCCATATCCCCTTCTTGCTGCTTCTGTTCTGTCAGCCCGTGGGGTGTTTTAAATGAGGTGTTGATTTCTGCAGCTGGTGACAGGGTCAGAGCTCCGCAGCCGCTTCCCTGAGGCGGGAGGTGCTGACCTCGCTGACAGGGCATCCGTGGGGGGCGGGGGCATCTGCCCTGGGCGGGGAGGGTGTCTCACGGCCATGTCACCAAGTGTAGACTTTTGGTGCTGTAGTGGAGATGACTCCCGGGGTTGACGGGCCCCAGTGCTGCTGGGGAGTGGGTGCACTGGGGAGGGCCGTGGCAGCCAGGGATCCACGCTGACCCAGTGGCCGGAACCATTGTAGGACTACATGGACCCCATGAACGAGTACAACGCCCTTAACGAGGCCAAGCAGATGATTGCCATCGCCGATGAGAACCAGAACCACCATCTGGAGCCCGAGGAGGTCCTCAAGTACAGCGAGTTCTTCACGGGCAGCAAACTGATGGACTATGCCCGCAACGTGCACGAGGAGTTCTGAGCCCGCGCCTCCTGCTGCCTGCCCCACGCGCCTTGGCCGGCTGGCCCCTCCGGGAGGCCTCCCTCCCTCCCGCAGCCCCAACAGCCGTGGGTCCAGGCTTATTACAGATGTGCTTGAGCGGGCCCGAGTCCCGAGGTGCAGTTGCGGGCTGGCTGCCCCCCATGCGTGGGGGTCCCACGTGACTGCTGCGTCTCACTTCTGAGAACCGGGTGCTGTTCTGCCGAAGGCACTGACCGCATCAGGGCCCTGTGGGCTCACCACACCTGTGGGAAGTAACGCAGCTCCTGCCATTTCCTTGAAAACTGAGAAGTGAACCAACTATTAGAGTGTGCTCTGCTGGGAGCCCGTAGCCGGCCGCTGGGGGGTGCCTGCCACAATGTTCAGTCTCCGAAAACACAAACACTTGTGATGAGAATCTCATTAATGTACTTTAAAATAGAGTTGCCTTTTTCTCCTAGCTTCATTTCTTTGTTGAAAAAAAGCCCATAAAACGATTTTGGAACGGTTGTGGCTGGGTGGCTTCCACTCAGTGCTTTTGAGGTGGGCGATTTGGTGAGAACAGAGGGTTTGGTCAGGCTCTTGCCAGGGCAGGTGCAGAAGGGACCAGGCCCCTGGGTGGGGCTGCACGTAAGGGATGTGTTTAGCGATGGGGAGGCCCGTGGGTACGTGGAAGAGGGCTCTTGCAGGGAGCTGAGGATCGGGGCTACGGATTCAAAGTCAGGAGCGTGGAGCCTGGGTGAGACCCCCTGGGAGGGGCCAGGTGGGGGGACCCGAGTTCCTGGTAGAGAGGGAAGATCTGAGGACGAGCCCTTAGGGCAGGGGCTGGGGGAGAACACACGAGTCCACCGAGCGTCACCTCCAGCTGGGCTGGCTGTGGGGGACGGAGCAGAGGTGGCCAGGGGATCTGGGGTCTCACTGAGCCTGTAGTCAGGGCCTGGGGGCAGGACGGGGCCACGGGCAGAGGCCCCACCAGACCTAGATTTCTCAGGCTTGCTGTCCCAGGCCCTTTCTGGGGGTCAGCCGTGCCCGGTACTTTTCTCGCATGTGGGGACAGAGGGCATTGAGCTGCGAGGAGTTTAACTGACTGAGGGTCTCTGACCTCACGTTCCTCCGAACTGCCGCCTTCAGCCCCTGCCCCTGCCCCTGCCCCGCTCCGTGCTTGTCGTCCCCTGAGGAGCCCTGAGCCGTGGGCTGTGGTGCTTTAGTGGACAGCTCACCCAGCCAGTGGGTCCGCTCAGGCCTTAGAGGGCCCAGCTCGGGTGGGGGCTCCCGCCAAGTGGGCAGAGGGGCTGCCCTGAGCTGCCCTTGTGACCTGCCCTTGCCACAGGGACCCACTTCCGAGCAGTGTGGGGTGGGGCCGCTGTAAAGGAACAAGGGCGTGGTGACACCTGCACTGTTTCCAGGCAGACGAGAAAGACTTCAGAAGGGACAGGCGTGTGTGGTGGGAGCGGGTCCCCGTGGTGGCCAGGCCCACGTGGGTGAGTCAGCAGCAAGCAGCTGTGTGATGTTTGGCGGAGGTGTGGGCAGAGCCCGGGGGTCGGCTGGGCCCACAGGATGGAGGCTGAGCGTGGTTAGTCACTTGTCTGTGCTAGGTGGGTCCCCGTGAACAGATGCCCGATTTGTGGGCCAGGTGTGCAGGGCCTCAGGCAGTGGGGACCCGTACCGCCAGAGGGCAGGCAGCCCCCACGTGGCCCCCAGAGAAGGAGAGGGGCATGCTGACTCCCAAGTTAGCTCAACCTCAGAGGCTATGTTTGTCGTTGTCAATTAAAAAAAAAAAAAAGATTTTTCTCAACATCTGCGGAAGACGGGGGCACACGCACGCACACCAGGCTGCCTGACGCCCTGGTCCCCTCCCCTGCGTGGCCCCCTGGCTGCTGGCAGAGCCTGCCTCCCTCCGCCCCAGCTGTTGTGGGCCGTGGCCTGGGCCGTGGCCACCTTGCCCTGCTCAGCCAGGGAGGAATTTCCCACAGGTGGGCTGGAGGAGCTCAGCTTTGTTACCTGTTGTCGGGGAGTCAGGGAGGGGAATTTCCAGCTTCCCCCCTGCTCTCCTCCCTGAGGGAGGCCCTGCGCCTGAAACTTTGTAAACTAAGTGGTGAATGGTTAATTTCATCTCAAGGTTATGGTTTGGAAGCTTCAAAACGACACAGTGTAGCTTCCCCTGCCTCCAGGGCACCAGAGATGTCAGAGCTGGGTGGGCACGTGCCTGTTCTTCCCGCTTGACACACCACAGCCCTGCACACAGCCCTCCCGGCCTCTGCCCTGCAACCGCCCGGGGCCGCGTCCAAGGGCCCCGAGTGCTCCATGGGACCGTCCAGTGGGTCTCATCCCAGGCCTCGCGTTGGTGCTGTGGGGACACTCTAAGCCCAGGTGGGTGTGGGGTGGGGCCGGGCTGGCCCGGCCACCACAGGGCACACAGCCGTCCTGCGGGCCCCCACGCGGCCAGGGAGTCAGAGTGGGTGCAGGTGGACCCGCCGCCCCCACCCTCACAGCAGCCGCACGCACGTGCCGCACACACACACAGACGGGTTCACGCGTGCTCCCAGGCATATTTTGTATGCAGGGTACAGGGCAGGTGCCGTCCTAACAGAATACCAGGGACGATCGTTTCCCCGTCCTGGGGCCTGGACGTCTGAGAGCAAGTGTCCTCGGTGGTCGACACTGCCTTCTCCTCTGTCCTCACGTGGCCTCCCTCTGTGCTCTTCCTGGGGTCTCTCCCAGAAGGACGCCAGCCCTTTGGGATCAGGACCCACCCCTCTGACCCCATCTAAACTTTACCAGCACCCCAGAGGCCCCGTCTCCACAAACAGCCATGTTGGAGGTCAGGGATTCAACACGTGGATTTGGGGGCACGGTTCAGCTCCTAACACCTGCTGTGCTCACACACCAGCACACCCCTGCTTTTGCACTCGTATGCACTCATATGCACTCACATACTCCTGCACACCGGCACATGCTCCCACACGCATGCTCACCATGTGGGCACAGGTGCCCTCAAAGCTCTTGACCACTGCCTCAGCCTGAGCCAGGTTTGGACACTTGGGCCAGGCGCCATGCCCTGGAGTCTGGGGCACTGCTGATCTTACCCCTGAGCCTATGCCCAGTAGAGAGTCCAGATGGTGAGAGGCCTGTCTCCTGAGCAGTGTGCTGCCTCAGTTTATCCCTATGTTCTGTGCACCCCTTTGCTTGGGGGTGAGGGTTGGCATGAATGTAGCCTTTTGTGGGGGGCATTGCAGGGGCAGCTACCTGCTCGTCCTGAGGGGTCTGCCCTGCCCTGTACAGGGAGAGGGGGTGCCCAGAAGGAGCAAGCTTGTGGAGGGGCCCGAAGACTACCCTCATCCAAACGGCTTGGTTGGGCTGGGCAGAGCAGGAGGGTACCCAGTGTGCCCAGCCGAAGGGACTCCACGTCCCCGGTGAGATGGGGGCAGGAGGGGTCCAGTGTGTGGGGGCGCGGACTAGATGTGCAGGCCCTGGTAGGGGTCAGGCGGCTGCGGGTCCTCCCTTTGGCCCCAGGTCTGCTGCCAGCCGGCTGAGCCTGAGGCTACTGGGCGTAGTTGAGGGGATGAGGGCCCTGCGGCCCAGGGCAGGGGAGAAGCCCACAGCCTGGACGGTTGCTTCCCAGACCAGCCGTCTTCCTGCCGCCGGCCCAGGTCAGGGGTCCTCAGCCCTTCCTGGGCCTCCTTCCTCCTGGTCCCCTCCCCCTCTCTCCCTCCCACCCCTCCTCCGCAGCCCTTATAGCCACATCCTCCAAGGAAAAACCCCAGACTCCTGCACCGCCCGCGGAGATGAGAATGTTCGTGGAGGCCCAGAGGCTTAGGGGGCCTCACTCAGCCCTCCTGCTCCTGGGACTCGTGCTGGGCGCTGCAGCCCAGCTCAACTGTGTGGGGGACGCCTACCCCAAAGACGGCAGGTGCTGTCGTGACTGCCTGCCGGGTGAGTGGAGGGGAGCCTGTGGTGACATGGGGACCTGAGACGCGGGGGTGGGGGTCGTGGGGATGGGAGACGTATGGGGATGGGCGCTGGGCAGAGGGGGACATGCAGAGGGGGTCCTGGGATGCGGGGCTCATGGGCCAGTGGGCTCAGGCTGATGGAGTGGGTGACTTGCAACCGGGCCCGGGACCGTGGGCCCCCAGGACCGGGGTTGGGGGTGCCAGGCCGTGCTGAGTTTGGCCTGCCTCCCGCTGCAGGTTTTGGGATGGAGAGCCGCTGCAGCAAAGGCCAGGACACCGAGTGCCTCCCGTGTCGGCCTGGCTTCTACAACGAGGCTACGAACTACGAACCCTGCAAACCCTGCACGCAGTGCAATCAGAGTGAGCACCACCCCAGCCTGGATCCTGAGACCCCCACCTGAGTCCCTGCCGTCCCGCCCAGGCACTCACAGGAGGTCCCCACAGCCGCAGAAACAAACCCCAAACCACAGTGGGGCCTGCTGTACCACGGAGGCCCCCTGGGAGCCCCTCCCTCCTCCCAGGGGGGCTGAGGCCACGTGGAGTCAGGCAGGAGCACGTGCCTGCCAGTGGGCCTTTGGGGGTGGTGAGCGCTGCATCCAGGCGCCACCAAGGGTCCTGCTGTGGGCCTGACGGAAGGTGGGACGGGAGGCTGGAACCGCCACGGGGATGCGTCCCGGGGGCCACGTGGCCAGAAGGAATATGGCATCCAGGGACTGGAAAGAACGGGGAACCGCCCGACTGCGAGGGGGCTGCTGGTCTGGGAGCCCTCGGCCTCGGTCCTCCAGCCTGCCCAGCAGCCCCGGCAGCCCTGCCGACTGTGCCCGCCTCACCTGACCCCCCAGGAAGTGGGAGCGAACCCAAGCGGAGGTGCACACCCACACAGGACACTGTCTGTAGCTGTAAGCCAGGCACAGAGCCCCAGGACGGCTTCAAGCGTGGAGTTGGTGAGCCTGGGGGTGGGCAGCGTGTGCCTGAGAGGTCAGGGTCTGCGTGCTGGTGGGGGCCTCGCGAGCTGTAAAGGAAGCATGTCTTCTCCCTCACATGCTATCACTTCCCACTGCACCCTCCACCCCAGCTCAGACCAGGTTCCTTCCCCCCAGCCAACAGGCCATGCCAAGAAACGGGTGGGGGGCGCCTGGGTCAGGGCCAGTGGGTGGAATGTAGGCAGGGAGGAGGTTCTGGAGGCTGTGGTGGGGGAGCGCCCAGCCCTACAGAACTAGCCCCCAGCAGCTGCTGCGTCCAGGTCCCCGAGGTGGGTGACAGTGGAGGAGACTGTCTGTCCTGCTGTCTTTGTTGCAGACTGTGCCCCGTGCCCACCGGGACACTTCTCCCCAGGTGACGACCAGGCCTGCAAGCCCTGGACCAAGTGAGTGACCTGGGGGGCTCCTGTCCCTGCCCCCCCCCCCCAATAGCCCCTGTCCCCTCATGACCCCTGGCCCCACCGTGCTGCCCGCCTGCTCGGTCCTGGTCCAGCCTGACTGCTGGGTTGGAGTGAGGAGTGTATGAGACTCTATCCCAGGCCCTGGGAGTATATGAGAGCCCTGCTCATCCACAGCTGGGGCCTCCATGGTGGGGGAAGAAGAGAGCAAGGGGGTGGGTTGAGAGGGTAAGGTGCGGCTGGAGCAGGTTGGGAGGAGACCGTGTAGGGAGCAGAGCGAGGGGAGATGGGGAATGACGGTGTGGGGCAGGTGGCCCTGGGTGTGGCCAAGATCCCCTGGAGGGTGTGGGGGCCTGGGCAGGGTCCTTGGCCCGTCGCCTGGGTGGGAGTGCGATGCTGCCTGAGGTGATCCAGTGTGGATTGCCCGTCGCTCCCCACATCTCCCTGGTCCTGTCTCAGTTCTGGGCTCATCCAGTCAATCTGGGAGGAGTTGGCGGGGGGCGGGGGTGGGAGGCTCTGGCCTGATCAACACCCCTGCCTTCCTCAGCTGTACCTTGATGGGAAAGCGCACGGTGCAGCCAGCCAGCAAAAGCTCGGACGCTGTCTGTGAGGACAGGAGCCCCCCAGCCACACTGCCGTGGGAGACCCAGCAGCCCCCAGCCTGGCCCCCCACCACCCATCCCACCACGGCCTGGGCCAGGGCCCCACAGGAGCCCTTCACACCCCCTACAGAGCCCCCCAGGGGTAAGGGGGGCCTGGCCTCACCCCAGCAGGGCCCTTCCCCAACCCAAAACGGAAGGGGGGTGGGGAAAGAGAGATGGGGTGGGGTGCCCTCTGCCTTCATGGAGGCCCCCCCGGGCTGGACTCCTTGCTCTGTGGACGCACCCCAGCAGGCCCTGCCTCCCCACAGGCCCCCAGCTGGCTGTTGTCCTGGGCCTGGGCCTGGGCCTGCTTGCCCCTGTGGCCGCCGCGCTGGCCCTGCTCCTGCACCACCGAGCCTGGCGGCTGCCCCCTAGTAAGTACCCAGTGTGGCCCCAGCCCAGATGGCCTCCCGAAGGGCTGAGACCCTTACCACCTCCCGCCTCTCGCTCTCCCCCCTCAGCTGGAAATGGCTTCCGGACCCCCATCCAAGAGGAGCATGCCGACACCAACTCCACCCTGGCCAAGATCTGAGCAGCGTGCTCCCACCCCAGGCTGGGGGCCCAGAGGGTCTGCTAGACATTGAGGGGCATTGGGGGTGCCCCCAGGCGCAGGCCGCCGCCCCCCCATCACGTGGGTGCCCTGTCACCCTGCCACCCCACCCTGCGCCGTTTTAGGTGCTCCTGGGCTGGCACCCAGGGCTCTGCTACATATGCTGTGCATACTTCCCGCCCAGGGTGGTGCCCTCCAATAAAGGACATTGGCGAACGCGGGTCTCTGCTGGGCGCCGGCGGGCCGGAGGCCGCACAGCCACGGAGGGAGCGCAGGGGTGTGCCTACTCTGGTGGGAGAGGGATCTCCAGCCTAGGCAGGGTTGTGGGGTAGGGAGCTCAAGTGGACCCCACTCAGAGACCGCAGGACCCCTGTCCTCACCCCTTCTCTGAGCACGTCCCGGCACCTGCAGGAGGGCGTGGAGGCCAAAACAAAGGTCCTGAGGGGATTAGACAACCCAGCAGCTTGTTGGGGGAATCCAGGAGCCGCTGCTCTGAGCCCCTAAACCTGGGTGAGTAGGCCCCAGGCACCCCCAGTGAGCCCACAGCTTGGGCACTAATGGCCCCAAAGGGGACGTTTGAGGGTGACCCTTCAGGTCTCTGTGTGTCCTTCCAGAGCAGAGAGCTCAAGAGACATTCTTTCTCGAGGCCTCTCCAACTGCATGCCCTACCAGACCTGCGTGTGTGTGTTGTCGGTAGTGAGCGGTGAAGGTTGGGTGTCACCACTTCGGGAAAGTAGAGATTTCCAATCAGGCTGATCCTCAGTTTGCCCTTGGTGTAAACAAAACGCCTCGATGCAGAAAAAGCCCAATGCCCATCGACACTGGGGTCCCACTGACCATGACTTGTCCATGACCAGGGCGCCCCTCCTGCTGGGGTGCCAGGCCAGGTAGAGAATGTCCTTCGCAGCTGCCAGGTGACCTGCAGCCAAAGGCACCGTGGTAAGCGTGAGACTCTGGGCCCTGACTCCAGCACAGCCCTGGACACCAACCCTCCTTGTTTCCTGGGCCGCCTTGCTCCCCGAGGTCGCCACAGAGGCCCGTCCAACTTGTCTTCAAATCTCTGACCCCTCTGCCCCTGGCCCGAACACTGCAGAGGGAGGACAGAGCCGTCCCATGTTCAGCCACACTGAGTTCCCACAGTCTTTTGGCGTGAGCCTCAGCAGTGACCAGAATAATGTAAGCTGTGCCCTCGACACAGGCAGCAAACCTGCACCCTTGACTCGGGGACAGTGGTTCCCAGGACAGCGCGGAGGCTGTGGAGAAGTGCTATGGGACCTGGTGGAGGGGGCAGGGTGGGGGCAGGGGAGGGGTCAGATCCTGGGGCCTTCCTCCTCACACCTCCCAGCTCTTCCCTCAGCCTGGCGGCTCCATCCCTGCAATGGGACAGAAAGATGGACAGTCACCTGCTCTTTGCTTCTATACCGACCCTAAGCACACTCTCCAGCCCCTCACCCCCTGCCAGTCTGCTGAAAACCCTCAAACTTCCTCCGCCCCGGCCCTGCCTGACCCCCAGGCCTGGGTGGTGGAGCTGTGGCCCTGGGGCCCCTCCTCCGCACCCCCACCCGGTCCCCCATCCTGCCCTGCTGTCAGATCCCCATCTCCACGCACCACCACCCTTCTGGTTACTTCCTGGACTCCGTGAAGGACCCTCCGCTAACAGGAACAGGGGTTGTGTAAGCTGGAACGAGTGATAATGTAAAAATGTGGTGAGCGGCTCAGAGTACTGGAAAACACAGAGGGCAGATAAAGATCACCTCTCCCCTCACTGCCCAGCTGTAGAGGCTCCACTCATCCCCGCAGCCTGTGACTGGGGCGGTGGTGGGGGGCTTCCGGAGGGGCTGGAGCAAGAAAGCAGACGCAGGCACTGACGTTTGGCTGATGTCACCCCTGCCTTTTGAGCGGCCTTGCTCATAAGCCACTATCTCTGTGGGCATTAACGTGGGCCCTTTGATTTCTTGCTGCTGTGGGTGGCAGCCACGGAAGAACCTTCCTCTCCCACTCGCCCCCGGGCCCTTCCAGTGGACATTTCCTGCACAGAGCTCCTCCTGCCCAGCTCACCTTCACCCCTCCCCACCACACACTGCTTCCAGAAGCTTCTAACTCTGTCCCTGCCTCCAGAAGGACCAGCGGACCAATGGCACAGTCTGACAAGCATCATTTGTAGGGTATTGATCATATTTTCCTGGGCCACAGTACATCGTGCGCTAACCAGAATTGGGGTGACCCGGTACTGCCACAGGCCTGACCCCTCAGGTCTTTGAAATGAGCAGTGGATGAAGGTCTAGACCGGCTGGTTCTGTGTGTGGAGTCCCTCGCTGTCCCAGCGCTCAGGCACATGTCCCGGTGTGGGAGCTGAACGGAGATCTCAGGGCCCCCCGGAGCCTCGGGCAGCCTGGAGCTACAGCCCACCCTCGAGCCCCCTCCCTCCCCTGCACCACCAGGCTTACCCCTCTGTGGAGGGGCTGTGCTTCCTGGGACTTGGAGAGCTGAGTCACAGATGGCTAATTCCTGTCATTTCCCTCAGAAAAGGAACAGCTGCCCATCTGGCCAGGTGGCAACTCCAGGTCTCAAAGGCCAATACCACAGCTGTCACCACACCTCCAACCCCGGGGGTATAAGCCCAGTCACGGTCCTGAGACCCTGACCCCAGGGAGGCTTCTTCGAGGAGGCAGGGCCCCAGAAGCCCTCTGTGCACACGGGGAAGCCGAAGCTCTGAGACACCAGGGACAGTCTCACGGTGAGTGGGAGGCTGAATTTTCTGTGGTTCGAGGGCTCGGTCAGGGGCTGGCCCTCCACACCCTCCAGGATGACCAGATTTGTCTGGAGAGGTCCGGGTGGAAACCAGCCCAGCCGTTAGAGCTGGGACCTGAGCAGGGCCACCTCCGGACCAGAGCTTCGAGACCAGAGGTTTGGTCAGTGCCTGGACCGCTCCTTACCAGCAACCTCTCCCAAGATCTGAGGAGGTCCTTGGGTTAGGGGTTGTGGGGGCGCTCCCCTAGGAGCCCGAAGCTATGAGCAGGTGTCAGCAGAGTGGAAGCCCAGCGGTGTGTGTGTGTGTTGGGGGGCCACCATGTGCACCTGGAGCCTGGTCAGACCTTGTTGGCCAAGTGAGGGCGCTTGTCCTGATCCCAGAAAGGGGTGGGGGTGTTGTCCCAATCCCTGGAGAGTGGGAGGGCCCCTTCTGATCCCTGGAAAGTGGGGGGCCTCTTGGTGCGGGGTTCTGGGCTGAGGATCAGCAGGCAGGACCATGATGCTGGCGGGTGTGGGCTCTGGGGTCTGTAGGTCTCATAGAGGACGAGGGAGCTGGAGGAGATCTTTAAAAGCCCATGGGGCCCTCCTGAGGAAGCTGGAGCAGGGGTAGGGGACCCAGCCAGACACTGAGGGGGCACAGCGAGGGAGCAGCCCTCGGCCAGACTGTCCTTGTGGGGGTCCCTGCAGCAGTCCACCTGTGGGCACTACCCACCTCAGGGTGCTGTCTGCCACTTAGCATCCAGCACCCCCCGCAGGCAACCCTCCCTCAGACCTGACAGGTTACAGATTCCTCCTCCCTTCCCAGTCCTGCCTGAGTAGTTGGGAATGTAGGCTGTGTTCAGTGTCCCTCTCCCCTCCATACACACGCATTTGGGGGCATATTTAGTTTCTGGGTAGGAATCCCGGAGCAAAGTTCAGGAACACTTAGGAACCCCCCAGGCCGCCCCCCCCCCCCCCGCCCCCGCACACCAGTCTCCTGGAGGCCCCGCCCCCACCCTGTGTGGTTGCACTCTGCAGCCTGCTAAGAGACCACCTCCGTGAGATACAGCTGGGCTCAGTTGACTTAAAAAAAAATTTATTATTTAGAGCAGCCTTGGGTTCACATCAAACCTGAGGGGCAGCTGCAGAGATTTCCCACGTGCCCCTGCCCTCAGGGGCCATTTGTGACGTCCGACACGCGGCGCGGACAAGTCGCGGTGTCGCGGGCTGCCTCGTCTACAAGAGGGTCGCGCGCGGCCGTGCATTCTGTGGTTTGGACAAAGTTCTAACGACCCGTCCTCACCACTGCAGTCACTCGCGGTAGTTTCGCTGCCCCCAGAGCCCCGGCGCTCCGCCTGCGGCGGGGCATTGTCGGCTGCCAGGTGCCACAGGGGGTCCGGCTGGGAACAACCTCTCCGGCCTCCCTGCACCTGGGCAGAGGCCCGCAGCCCGCGGGGCGGGGTCTGGGCGTGCCCGGATGGGGGCGGGGCGGGGCCCATCCCCTCAAATCTCGCGGCTGCGGCCCGCCATGGGTGCCATGGAGGCGAGGGGCGCGCGCGCGGCCTTGTGCGGCGTCACGCTGCTCTGCGCCATGGGCCTGGGCCAGCGCCCCTCCGGGGGTCTGAGCTGCGGCCCCGACCGCCTTCTGCGTGGAACCGGGACGGACACGCGCTGCTGTCGCCTGTGCACCCCGGGTAAGGCGCGTGCGGGGAGCCTGTCTCGTGGGGCAGCAGCGCCGCGCTCTCTCCCTGTGCTCAGACTGACTCGACGGGGCGGCGGGCAGAACTTCTGGGTCCAGAGCCCACTGTCCCAGGGGAATGGGTGCGGGGGCGTGTGGCAGCGAGGAGCTCAGCTCAGGCCAGTGGCCCAAAGCGGGGTCAGGGGCTCGGGAAGTGCAAGATTTCCCCAAGGCGAGTGTTGGGTCCCAAGGTCGAGGAAGGCCGTCCAAGCTCTTACGGAGTGGCTCGTGAGCCCTTGGCTCTCACTCAGACCAGCACAGGTTCGGCCCCAGCCCCTGCCTCCGACTTGCCTCTGTGGGTGAGGGCCAAGCGGCATGTGCCAGCTTGGGGACAAATACTGCAGGGAAAGCAGCTCAGAGCGTCACCCTGCTGGAGCCTGGGGGTTGAGAAGGGCGGTGTCTGAGGGTCCCAAGTCTCAGTGTGGCAGGCAGGACAGAGGCAGGAGGAAAAGGGGAGAGGGAGTAGGTCCCCCAGGTGGCCCCCTTGTCCAGCAGGGACGTGTTCTGGTGACATGCCAAGTCACCACCACCCTGGTGGGAGCAGCTTCAGGGCAGTGGGGGACACAGCCAGGCCACATCGTGGAGGAGCTAGGTGCCTAGGAGGGAGGG